TGCATTTAATACTGCCCCATGGGGTGGGATACTCGCCGAACTGAGAAGCAGAGACTTTGCGCCTTACATATCTAACATGATAGCCAGCTACCTTGAAGACCGGATGCTAAAGATAGAAGCAGACATAGAACTGGAAGCCTCATGTGGAGTGCCACAAGGCTCAGTGATTGGTCCCACATTGTGGAACCTCTACTACGACGACGTTCTAAAGCTACAAACACCGGCAGGAGTGACAGTAGTGGGCTACGCAGACGACCTGGGAATAGTGGTAGTCGACAAGGACATAAAAATCCTCGAAAGAAAGGCCAATCGAGCAATTACTAACATCACAGAGTGGCTAAGTAGTAGAAGACTCAAACTTGCCCCACAGAAAACGGAGGCAGTCCTACTAGTGGGAGGTAGAAAAGTCAAAGGATTTGAGGTGACTGTTGGAGATACTAAGATATTCAGCCAAGAATCTGTCAAATACCTTGGAATACATCTCAACCGCAACATGAGTATGAGTGTCCATGTCAAACTTACCGCTGAGAAAGCAACCAAGGCACTATCACACAACAGTAGGCTAATGCCCAACATAGGTGGGCCTATAGAAAACAGTAGACACATACTGAGCAACGTGGTCCAATCAATAATTTTATATGGGTCAAGTACCTGGCAGAGAGCTCTAAAGAAGAAGATCTACCTAAACACTCTTCTGAGCGTACAGAGAAAAGTAGCCATCAGAATAACAAGTCATATTGATGATAGCCAGAATGCCACCTATAGATCTCTTAGTAGAAGAGCGATCCAAAATCGAGAGAGGTGAAAATAAGGCTGAAACCCGAGAAACCCTGCTAGGGCAGTGGCAGGAAAAATGGGATACTGATGACGGAACAGCTAACTGGACAAAGAGATTAATTAGAGATATAAAACAGTGGGTCGACAGAAAATTCGGTAACGTAGACTATTATATGACGCAGATACTAACGGGACACGGCGGATTCCACGCGTATCTTCACCGATTTTCCCTAACACGAACGAGTGCCAATACTGTCATCAAGTAGACACCGCTGAACATACGTTCTTTGAATGCGATAGATGGAAGGCTGAGAGAAAAAAGGTGGAAGAGAAAGTAGGTCGAATTACTCCGGAAAATCTCATAAGAAAGATGCTCGAGACAGAAGAAAACTGGATACAAATTTGTAAATTAGCCATGATTATTATGTCCAACAAAAGACGAGAGATGATTGTATAAGCCTACACCAACAAAAAAGCAGTCTTCTTGAAGTAATACCAGCAGGTAGTCCCACACTACCAGGTACGGGCAGAACCACATGCCTGGTGTCCGTAATGGATTCCCACCCTACCAGAAAAAAAAATGTCGCGTTCAATATACATTAAGGATAATAAAACTAGACGTTCCTCTACCATTGTGGTCCGACATTTGCTTTTTATATAGACAAGCTTCGAAAAAGAACAATATGCTTTGCAAATAACGATCGGTATTGATAACAAAATTTTTAGAATTATATAAAAGTTCGAAAATGTATCCATTACACTGTGATTTAATATACCTATCATTTAAAAATCAAATGAAGTTTTTAAAGTTTCGTCGGAATTCATTATTTGGAAAAAATATTAGTTCGTTAGTAAAACTATCATCAAAATTCCGTTTCTGCAATAAGCCAAACAGGTCATTAATTTTGGAATAACAATTACTTCTTCTCTGTATTTCAGAAAAGCTTGTCAATAATCTCTAAAAATGTTTGTATTCTGAAATCATTCCTTCCATCTTAAAGAAATTCATCTTGGCCGTAAGAATATAAATAAAAAAACTAACAACCTTTTTAAATACTATTTTGCTAAGTGGGTAAAAAGGAACTTAGAGAGGGTTTTCTGTGATCGCAGCAAGTGTTAAAATGATTTACTTTATGGAACTGGTTACGAAAGTTTAATTATGTCTCCAGTCGCAAAAATAAATAAAAATAAACCTTTATTGGTTTTAAAATCAATACATACATTATTATTGAAAGTTTATATCAAACAAGGGAATTGACTCTATAAAATAAAATTGGGTTAGTGAACACAACCTAGTAATATTGTTGTGGTCCTTATTTTCCATTCTAAATCAGCATAAAATAATCAAAACACAATACATGACAAAATAACTAACTTTCTTAAAAACTAAATAACTTTAATTACAACCCAACAAACAATAAATTGTCGGGATATTGCTGGCCTTTTGCTGTAATTGAAAGATAAAAGCCTACTTTTGGCCTTTCGATAGTGGCGTGGTCACAGAGCTTCCAGTGTCTTATTTATAATACTGCAAAGTTGCATTCTATTATAAATAAGACGTTGGGAGGTCTGTGACCACGCTTACCGCCTATAAATTCAATCTGGTTTCTGCGCATTGTAATGTACTCTTCGGGTAGTAATCAAGCTCTACGTGGTCCGCGTTTGAGATCTCAGAAAATATTACCATTTGTAATATACTTTGCTAATTATTGCATTACATTTAAAATATGAAAAATAAGAGTTTAAATATAATTTTGTATGGTTTTATTTACCAATTTTCACCAAACTTTGCATCGAATCCTCGTTTATCCTTAATTATCATTATCACAACGTGGGTATATAAACTATCAATTAATTAACTAGACGATATCTACTACTATTAGAGGAAAATGGCCAAATACAGTAAGTATAGAATTTAAATTAAAATAAAATTGAGAGAAATAATATTTCAGAGAGTAAACAACGATCAAAAGGGGTATGGGGTGGGCCGTTGCAGCTATCTATTGACATTCTTCTTTCGCTCAATTTTTGTCAAACAGATCTCGATTTGGTCACAGTTTTTGCTTTGCTTTTTCGCTCATTTTCTTCAAATCTTTCTTTTTTGGGAGTATCAGCATAAACCCTTAAAAGGAGACGCTCTCTTTTACGTTTACCCTCTATTTTAACTGCTTTTTGATAAGGTTTGGCAGATTATGTTTTGATTTAAATTAAAAAAAAAAAACCACGGCACGACGCCGAGATGTTTGTGATATTCAGGATATTGATTAATCTTTGAATTCTTTGGGATAATTCTGTTTTGTAGTGTAGGTATATTTTCATTAACATTGTCTTCTTCCAAGAATAATTCCTCTCTACTTCCACACTCTTTTTCCCGATCTTTGTTTTCATTGTCCAAAACTAATGTCATTTTCTGGAATTTCTTCAAATTTTGTAGTCGAGGGATTGTTACAGCAATTTGATTTTTATTTTCAAACTGTTTTGAGGCAAAGGCATATCGTTAACATAACTTGAATTAAATTCTTCATCAATGAACGCCAATCTATTAAATAGCAATAGTGCTGGTTTCTAAAATCTATTATTGTGTTGGCTGCAAAAGCTCTTAGACACAATTAGTTAATTTAGCAATATTCCTCACACTAATGGTCTTTTCTGGGTTTGATGTCATCCAGTCATCAATTGCTACATTGCAGAACTGCTTAAATGGTCCATAAACCGCCACGTCCAAAGGATGCATCCTGGCAGTTGTGTGCGATGAAAATCTTAAAAGAACCATCCCATTTTCTTTGCTAAATTTGATACATGGAAGATTCACATGTTTCATCATTGTAAACAAGTAGCAAAATAGGATTAGCTACAGTGCAATGTGTATGAGTTTCTATATGCTTTAGCACACTGGGAAACGGTTTGGCGGTCATCCAACCACTTTTAATTTCAAGAACTAAACTGAAAATTGGGGTGCCATGAAGTCGTCGATATATCTTATCTTAGGAAACACATAGGCATGTGGAATTCTTTGGCCTGCAGCATAACGATACCAACGAAGGTCACTATACTATCCCTTCTCTTTCTGGTAATGCCACTTGGGATAACTGCCGTTGTTACTTTTACAGGTTTCATTACCATTGTTACTCCTGTTTCATCAAGGTTATATATTAGCTCAGCAGAGAATTTATACCATACACCTTAAGGTTATCCAAAAATTGTTCAACTTTAAACTTATTAAAAGCCGTGCTGCGACATTAGCTCATGCTTTCCGTAACCTTAAAGCGATTTGTCTACATAAAACCCCTTCTCCATACCTCCTTAGCCTGTTTTGATTCGTGCCATTCCCTGGGAACTTGGTAGAGCACTAGCATAGTTGTAAGCTAAACGTAAGTTAATCCATAATTAATATCCGAAAATTGTTTAATATTCTTCCAATTCTTCCTCCATGGTGATACTTGTCTATTGGTATATTTACTGGAGTATTTTGTTGAATTTTTAACTAGTTCGATGTCGTTTCCTTGGTTCTGTAAATGTTGCGTTAAATATTCTTTCTTTTTATTGGTAAAAATTTGTTCACTAGACTTTGCTGGGTGGTAGGTGAAATTTTCAATTATTTTAACATGGGAAAATCGTTTTTAATATACAGAGTTAAAAACAAGTACCAGTACTTAGGAATCGCCCTGTAGATGGATCCCAAAGACCTAAATATGTGGAAGGGCTTATTTTAAAAAAATACTTTAATTAAATATTTTTTATTAAAGATTTTGAAATACAAAAATAATATCGATGAAATAACAAATATATATACATTTGAATAAATCTGTACTTATAATAATTAAATTACTTTGGTATAAAAAACAGACCTGGGCAATGATGCAATAGGTACAGATGCTTTGTTTTTTTATACAATTGTAATTCGTTCTTTTTACATCATTACAAATAGTTTGGACAATATAATTATGTCAAAAAAAGTAATAAAATCACTTTTTGGTATTAAATGCCCAACTCTGCATTTAAAATTAAAAAAAAAAAAGATTATTTACGTATGAAATTTGTACTTAAATAATTAGCATAAAATATATATGCTACAGTTTAATATCCTAGCCACAAAAAATGTATTAAAAACATCTTCAAAAAAATTCAATTAACTAAAAGGTAATATGGCGGCGAACTGGTTGGTTGAAAAAAAAAAAACAGTATGGCTTATGTATGTACACTTATCTGGAATAATGTTTGTAACTACACTCTTCATCGCGACAATTGCCGTCTATGTCATACGGACACATTATTTCAAAAGGATCATACCCAGCATCCCTATAAAAGAAATTCAAATGTTAACCATAATGGCGACAGAATTTTGAGGTTATGAAATTGTAGCTCAAAGAAAGACTACTAGGCTAGAGAAATAATAGTATAATGCGAATGTATGGAATAAATTAATCGTTTTTTATCCAACAATATAATTATCAGGAACCCAATTTGGTTAGGAATCTAGTAAAACTAAAAATGTTGGGTCCGGTTCAGTTTCGGTTTTTAAAAAAATATTTCGATTCGGTTCTGACCATTTTTTGTTTTTTTTTTTGTCCAGGTATCCTCGCAATTAACATCGGGTAGAACCTGCACTGCAGGAATAACCTGATTTTAAATCAATCTAAATCTTTTTGACCGTTAAGGAGGTCCTTTCGCCACACCTCTCGCCTCAAATGTTAAAAAAAAAAGTTATTAGATTATGACTAAAATTAATTTTTTTCTAATAGTTGAAGTCCTTATTTATCTAATACTGAACTTTTAACTATACCTTACCTTGCAAATTTTTGAGAATTTTTTTTTAAATGTGAGTATTTGTACAGTACCTCACGAGAAAGTAAGTCCTCAACAACAATTCTCGAATTATACTATTATTTATTGATTAGATAGAGTAGAAAAAAACTAAAAATAAGGTTTTTGAAATATTTAGATTTTGTTTTATACAATAAAATATATATAGTAAACCGTGGAACTTATTGAGAAATTAATATTAAAAAATCACAAAAAATTTTCAAGTAACCTAGTTGAAAATTTTTTGTGATTTTTTAATAATAATTTCTCAATAAATTCCACGGTAACCTATATATTTTATTGTAAAAAACAAAAACTAAATATTTCAAGAACCTCATTTTTAGTTTTTTTCTACTCCATCTAATCAATAAATAATAGTAAAATTAATTATAATTCGAAAATTGTTGTTGAAGTCTTACTTTCTCATAAGACACTGTACAAACACACACATTTAAAAAAAATAAATTTCTCAAAAATTTGCACGGTAAGGTATAGTTAAAAGTTCACTATTAGATAAATAAGGACATCTACTATTAGAAAAAAATTAATTTTAGTCATAATCTAATATTTTTTATTTAACATTGGTGGCGAAAGGACCTCCTTAAGTTTGCAATCAATAAAAAAAGGGCCGATAATGTAAACGGTAAAATACCAGTTCACATTTAATTTTTGAGGCTATTGTGTATTTATTTTCCCGAAACTAACATCTCAATATGGATGGATTATATTTGTTGGGCAATAAAAAAGTTGACTGTTCGGTAAATAAAATCGTGGGCTTACTGTGAAAAAGAACCAAGTCAAATTGTATGTGATTTGAATTAACGTGACCAAGTCACTTGTTAAATTAACCAGTATAAATGTGACTTGGTATTTTTTTTGTATATCTGACTTTAACAAGTCTGTCATATTAACTCAAATTACATAAAATTTGTAATTTTTTCCAGTAAGCCCACAAAATGTTTTTTCAAAAATTTTCATTTTGATTCTGCAGATTCGTCATAATTTCGCAAAACTCCATCCGTCTAAAATTGTCATCGGGAAATTTTTTTCGGATTGGCTAGATTTTAAAGCAATGATACCCATTTATTTTCAGTATATTCCGTACAGTTCTGGTCCCAATGTTAACTTGTTCATGTATTTACTAAATGACTAAGGTTCATGGGTTTCAGCAATTAGACAACTTCAAGTTCCCGTTTTTAACGCTCATCAATTCGCCCTCTCCTTACTGCAGGTTCATCATTATATCAGACTCACGATAACATTTTTGGCAATGTTGTAGACATCCAAGTCTTAAATGTTTTTTAATGATTCTAATTGTCGAACGATGTGAAATTGGCACATTTTCATACGCCCAAATAAATGTATTACCTCGTCCACGAAATTGCCCCCAAAATATCATTTTTTCAATTTGGATATTTTCCTCTTTAGTGTAAACCAAGATCCGACAGTAGTCAGGCCCCAGTTAAGACTTGTGTGGGTGACCGAACATGCACAGCTCGGAGCCCACTTCCCCACTTAGACCATAAAATGTATTGAAAAATGAGCTGAACGCATTGGAAGGAGCAGCGCGTCCAAATGGTGGAACAATAAGCCATATGTGCTTCAGTGGCGCCGTGCGAACCCTAGAGAACCAGGAACCCCTCAGGGGGAGCAGAAGGATGCCTGAACGGGACGAAAAAAACCCAATGGTGGTAGTATAAAAATAAAATTGTACACCTACAGCGAGAGCCGAGCAGTAAATAAGCTAAAGACTAATCTAATGTATTGTACATGTTGACAGATTCGATTACGATGCCCTAAGACGTATAATGTATATTAGCATAGTGCAATCTACAATTATTAATAGAGATGAGGGTAACTACACCATACCCTATGGTTTGTATGTTTTCCTAACCTGTATGCATATCATGAGATAGTCCTTCAAAAATTTAAATTGTTTGATTTTTTTTTCAGAAGTCGTCCAATTTATTCCATATATTTGCATCATACTGTATGTATATCGCACCTTTTGATAGAATCCAATGGCGATACATATTTAGGAACAATTTGCTCCTTCTCGTATATTCTGAGGATGTCATTCGGATCTCCTGGATTGATATCGTCTAAATCACTATTTTCCGTATTATTTCCATTACAAATAACGTCTAGTTCGCTTATTTTCAGTATCTCATGTTTTTCGACATCATCGCCGCATCCTTCTTCCGAAATTTTTTCACAATCTTTATTGGGCGATTTAGGAGGATTAAAAGTAATGGGTGATTTAGGCACAGCAATATTAATTGGAGTGGAAGTAGTGGGAAGCGTTGAGTTCGGAGTATTTGGTATAGTACTAATTTCAAATGTTTCAACAGGGAGTTTGATTTTATTTGGGGTTGACGTATGAGGTATTTTAGTTAGGCCATTTTTCTTTGGAGCTGGTTGAGGTGTACTGAAACATAAAAATTGTTTTTTGGGCGTTAAAAGTGTTTCAGGTTATCTTGTTGTTGTTGTTGTTGTTTAAAATATGTGAAATTGACAAGAAAACCATAACTAAAACCACTATCCGATATCTTTAAACATAAGGAAGTGTAATAATAGACATTTATTTTGTATTCTTAGTGAAAAATTGTGTGTATTCTTACATAAAATATTTGTGATAGTTTGATAAGATATTTGATGAATTATAAGATTTGCATTGTTGGTACTAACGATGGATCGTTTTAAATTTAAAAATTCATACATAAAAATGATGAATACGATAATACAAATTAATTTTAATAATTTATGATTTATTGAACCATTAGTTCTTTTTTTAAATATTGAAAACTGTTACAAAGAAAAGTTTATTAGAATTTAATATTATGCAATTATTTCCATCTATACATTGATATTTAACTTCAACCATTTCAACATTCTAAATATGTAAGTAGAAATACCAGTGACATTGAGTTTGGAAGAAAACAATAGAAATATTGTTAATAACGGGTGAAAATTATAAAATATAATAATAATAATAATAATAATTACTTTATTGCTTTCAATACATACAAATTATTAAACAAAATTATATAAATATACATAAAAAAATACTGAAAGACAAAAGGCGACGTTCGCACTTACTGGCGAGCTCAAAGATTGAGCCAGCAAATAAGCAGCGCTATATTGGGAAGAATCTGAAATATTTAATAACAAACGTCCAGAAAAATGTAGGTATACAACAGTATTGCAAATTATGAAAAACAAAAAAAAATCAAATCGTATATCATACTTTTGCTGTCAAAGTAGCCTTCATTAAATATCTATGTGTAGGGAAACATTTTTAAGGCTATTGTTAAGAGAAAGAAGTAAAACATTGAAATACAATTTTTCAGGGTAGATGGGTGCAATTGCATATCAATTCTAATTAACGGTTTTCGATATTTTTGAAATTTGTTTAGCTTGGGATCTGAAACAGTGTCGTTAAACCGCTGTAGGCCCGTATATAAATGCCAAGTATATTATGGGAGGCGCACGGATTTTTCACCGTTTTACAGATATCATAAACTAACCTTTTATCAATTTCTTCCTTTTTCGTTAACAATTCCTTAACGCACACTGAGAAATTCTGGTGGGTTTCGTGCAACTTCGCCTTAGCCTCGGTCAGTTCCTCCAGCAATCTCTTTACGTCTTGGTCGTACTTCTTCCTTTCTGTAGAGGCTTCATTTATCTTCCGGATGATCGGTGTTAGAACTACATATTTTTCTTCAATCTGCAATCTTTGGTCCCATTTCGATTTTTTACAAGGTCCATAACCAATTTACGATGGATGTATATTACATATATATATTTTGGTTGGCCCTCATATTTTAAGGAAGTTTTGCATTCATACTCATAAATGTATTAATTTTATTTTGCAAAATATATCTTATTTTAATTAATTAACCACTTTAAAAAAAATATTTTAGTCGCGGTCTTTAAAATTTAAATCGATACGTTTCTAATTTGATATGTGGCAATGTTTCCTAGTAATTGATGACGGCATCATTTCTAAGAACATGACTGGCTTAACTGATCGCAGAGATTAAAGGGTTTGAAAATAATTGATTTTTATTTCAAACTGTTTTCAATAGAAACCAAATGTGGTAACGTATGGTTCTAAAGTTTTCGAAAAATAATTCAATGCTAAAAATAATATTTTGTTAATTTTTAAACTTCATATTACAATAATTAACAATAGATGCAGCAATAAATAATTAATATATAGATGTGTTTAAAGATTTGAGAACAAGTTTAATCACCATCGGGCTCGAACTAGCACATCAAATATTTGCCTAGAAATCTCGTCAGTCAATGTCGTGATGGTCTAGATCAAGGGTATCCAAACTTTCTAGCCTTAGGGCCATACTGATTACTCCATAACTAAAAACATATATTCTAAATTCTAAACAACAAAACCTTTTATTATAACATTTAAGATTTGCAATGAAGAAGGCTGTTGATAATTATATAAGAACAGAAATCCAGGAGACGGTGCCACTCCACCCCAGCTAGCACTTGTACCGAGCAGGAAGATCTACAGAAACTGCCCTAGTACAAACAAGGTACTAAAATGTATTATTATCAAAAATAAGGTATTAAATATTACCACTACTCCCCAGACTTAAACTTTACTACCACTACCCTCCCCCCAGACTTAAACTCTTGATGCGCCACTGGTCGGTGCATACTTAGACATAGGAGCATTTGATAACACACAACCAGAGGATGTCCACAATTAGAAGTTCTATCCCCACTAATGTGGAGGAGCCTAACCGTAGACGAACGTCTATGCAGATTACTTGACCTCTACATACCCTTACAAGGTTATGCCGACGACATAGTTATATAAGCTAGATACAAGATTGGAAATAGCCAAAGAGGACTAGAATACACCAAAAAATAGTGCCAAGAGGTCGGACTTAGTATAAACCCCGTCAAAACAACACTAGTAGGAATTTCAAGAAAAAGCAATCTCATTCTTCAACCCGTCTTATTAAGATGGGATAGATATAGAATGGAAATATTTAGGCCTAACCCTGGACAACAATCCTTCTTCAACATACTTGAGAAGGAAGTAGTAAATAAGACCAAAAAAGCCCTAATGGTATGCAGAAACGTTGTGGATAAAATATGGTGATGTAACCTGAACAATGAGGCTGAAGCTAGCAGACAACTAGCAGACAAACCGCGTGGCGATCCCTTTATGTTTTGACATTGTTATTCAGCAAAATCTTTGGTTTAGGTAGACTTTAGTATCATGAAAATTTAGAAATAAATAAATATTAGTGTATTTATTGAAAAAAAAAAAAAATTAATTAATTCAATTTGAATTATTAGTAAAAATAATATAATCTTACACAAAGACGGGGACGCAACAACCACATTTACAATGCGATTATAAATATAATTTTTATATCAAATATTCATTAGATTTTTGTTAATTGATTAAACAAAAAATTTTGGTCGAGCAATGATTTTAAATATATTTTTGTGGTCTTTTTTGTTTTGTGGTTAAACGACTATAAGAACAAAAAGACCAAAAAAACACATTTAGCACGAGATTACAAATACAATTTTTATACCAATAATTAAGTACACCACTAGCTATAAAATAAATAAAAAATCATTAAATAGCAAGACATCTAAATATAGTTTTTAGATCATTAAAGTCAAGCGTTTCCGCGGATAAATATTACTCAATAAAACCAACAAAAACAATCATTTAACACGAGGTTCCAAATACAATTTTTATACCAACGATTCAATAAACAAGTATCAATAAAAAAAATAATAAATCATCAAATAGCAAGATCTCTAATTACATTTTTTAGGTCTTTAAAAATTGCGCGATTCCGCGGATAAACCTTACTTTATCAAAATGATAAAAACCAATATTTAGCGCGAAAATCCAGGTATAATTTTTAGTATGAATGATTCAATACATTGGTATAATTCAAAAAAATAATAAAGCATTACATAGCAAGACCTCCAAATACGTTTTTTAGGTCTTTAAAATGGCACGATTCCGCCGATAAACATAACTTTATAAAAATGACAAAACCAATATTTAGCAAGAAAATCCAGGTAAAATTTTTAGTATGAATGATTCAATACATAATTATAATTCAAAAAAAATAAATCATTACATAGCCAGACCTCCAAATACGTTTTATAGGTCTTTAAAATGATGCGATTCCGCGGATAAACCTTACTTTATCAAAATGATAAAAACCAATATTTAGCACGAAAATCCAGGTATAATTTTTAGTATGAATGATTGAATACATAATTATAATTCAAAAAAATAATAAATCATTACATAGCAAGACCTTCAAATACGTTTTTAAGGTCTTTAAAAATGCGCGGATTGGCGAATAAATTCCAAATACAATTTTATACATTACATTAGTTGTGGTCAAATAAAAAATAATAAAAGGAGCAAATATTTTAAATATAAGTTTTAGCTATGGTATGGGCGGAATGTCGCTTAGATTATTTAGTTTGTCTAAAAGAAACTTAAAACCCAATTTAAGAGAATGCACTGCCATAAAACTATAATTTGATTTAAATGTATGAAGATTACTACTATTAATATAGGAAATAAGGTTTAAGTAATTCCACATTGAAAATGCGTTTGTGATTTTGTAGTGGTGTATAATCTCATTGAAGAATTTATGGCCGAGGGTTGCTTCATTGGAAAAACCAAAACTTTAATTGAAAAATAGGTGAAATAAAATAAAAGGATTTAACCGTTTTAGTACTGATCTCTCGACTTGAATGTATGCAAGTAGCTGTGCTGTATTCTTTTATTGAGCTAATACATACGTTTTTAATAGTTTTGTGCGTAACGATACTTTAACGTGTTCGTAGTGACACTTATTGGTATTATCTTTATATCAACTGATTATTATTAAGGTTTATGTGCCCAGTGACACTTTGTTTAAGGAGTGCAGAGATACTAATCTCTAATTTTGTGCTTGTTATTGTTTGCCTAGTTCAATTATTGCCTAGTGACAGGCTTTATTTTTCTTTACTTTGGTGAGTTTTTTATGAATATAATTTTTATATATTTTTGCAAGATATACGAGTAATCAATTTGAATATTTCAAATAAAATGTTAGCGCAGGGAATAATTTCCCAATTAAATATTTTAAATGTCAAAGAAGTCGACAAAGCGATAAAATTGCTAATGAAATCCTCATTTCAAAAACCCAATTCCATTTGGTTTCAAATTGCGAAATTTTTTTATCAAAGACCTAAAAAAACGTATTTGGAGATCTTGATATGTAATGATTTATTATATTTTTGAATTATACCAATGTATTGAAGCATTCATACTAAAAATTATACCTCGATTTTCGTGCTAAATATTGGTTTTTAACATTTTGATAAAATAAGGTTTATCCGCGGAATCGCGCCATTTTAAAGACCTAAAAAAGGTATTTGGAGGTCATGCTATGTAATGATTAATTATTTTTTTGAATTATACTAATGTATTGAATCATTCATACTAAAAATTATACCTGGATTTTCGTGCTAAATATTGGTTTTTGTCATTTTGATATAGTAAGGTTTATCTGCGGAATCGCGCCATTTTAAAGACCTAAAAAACGTATTTACAGGTCTTGATATGTAATGATTTATTATTTTTTTTGAAATATAATAATGTATTGAATCATTCATACTAAAAATTATACCTGTATTTTCGTGCTAAATATTGGTTTTTGTCATTTTGATAAAGTAAGGTTTAGCCGCGGAATCGCGCCATTTTAAAGACCTAAAAAACGTATTTGGAGGTCTTGCTATGTAATGATTTATTATTTTTTTGAATTATACTAATGTATTGAATCATTCCTACTAAAAATTATACCTGGATTTTCGTGCTAAATATTGGTTTTTATCATTTTGATAAAGTAAGGTTTATCCGCGGAATCGCGCCATTTTAAAGACCTAAAAAACTTATTTGGAGGTCTTGCTATGTAATGATTTATTATTTTTTTTGAATTATAATTATGTATTGAATCATTCATACTAAAATTTATACCTGGATTTTCGTGCTTAATATTGGTTTTTATCATTTTGATAAAATAAGGTTTATCCGCGGAATCGCGCCATTTTAAAGACCTAAAAAAACCTATTTGGAGGTCATGCTATGTAATGATTAATTATTTTTTTGAATTATACTAATGTATTGAATCATTCATACTAAAAATTATACCTGGATTTTCGTGCTAAATATTGGTTTTTGTCATTTTGATAAAGTAAGGTTTTTCTGCGGAATCGCGCCATTTTAAAGACCTACAAAACGTATTTACAGGTCTTGCTATGTAATGATTTATTATTTTTTTGAATTATAATGAATTGAATCATTCATACTAAAAATTATACCTGTATTTTCGTGCTAAATATTGGTTTTTGTCATTTTGATAAAGTAAGGTTTAGCCGCGGAATCGCGCCATTTTAAAAACCTAAAAAACGTATTTGGAGGTCTTGCTATGTAATGATTTATTATTTTTTTGAATTATAATTATGTATTGAATCATTCATACTAAAAATTTTACCTGGATTTTCGTGCTAAATATTGGTTTTTGTCATTTTTATAAAGTTATGTTTATCGGCGGAATCGTGCTATTCTAAAGACCTAAAAAACGTATTTGGAGGTCTTGCTATGTAATGATTTATTATTTTTTTGAATTATACTAATGTATTGAATCATTCATACTAAAAATTATACCTGGATTTTCGTGCTAAATATTGGTTTTTGTCATTTTGATAAAGTAAGGTTTATCCGCGGAATCGCGCCATTTTAAAGGCCTAAAAAACGTATTTGGAGGTGTTGCTATTTGATAATTTATTATTTTTTTTTATTGATACTTGTTTATTGAATCTTTGGTATATAAATTGTATTTGGAATCTCGTGTTAAATGATTGTTTTTGTTGGTTTTATTGAGTAATATTTATCCGCGGAAACGCTGGACTTTAATGATCTAAAAACTATATTTAGATGTCTTGCTATTTAATGGTTTTTTATTTATTTTATAGCTAGTGGTGACTTAATTATTGGTATAAAAATTGTATTTGTAATCTCGTGCTAAATGTGTTTTTTTTGGTCTTTTCGTTTCTTATAGTCGTTTAACGACAAAACACCTGAATTTAAAAAGACCAAAAAAATATATTTAAAATCGTTGCTCGACCAAAATTTTTTTGTTTAATCAATTAACAAAAATCTAATGAATATTTGATATAAAAATTATATTTATAATCGCATTGTAAATGTGGTTGTTGCGTCCCCGTCTTTGTGTAAGATTATCTTATTTTTACTAATAATTCAAATTGAATTAATTAATTTTTTTTCAATAAATACATTAATATTTATTTATTTCTAAACTTTCATGATACTAAAGTCTACCTAAACCAAAGATTTTGCCGAATAACAATGTCAAAACATATCGCCACGCGGTTTGTCTGCTAGCTTCAGCCTCATAACCTGAACACACTGCAATGCATGTATACAGCAATAGTGAGACCAATCATCACTTATGGGGCTAGCCTGTTTGCATCACCAGTGCAATGAGAACTTGTCCTATGGCCGCAATGGAGGTGATTTTAAACCTCACTTCTCTATATTTAATGATAGAGAACATGGCAAAAAGTACAAGATATAGAATGATCTGGAACGGAGTAATCAGAAGAAACTCTATTAGCTTCAGGACCGAAGATACTTGGGATATGCCCCAGAACGAAATGGGGAAGAAGTACAGTTTTGTGAAAAACTTCAAAAACACAGAGCTGGGCTGGAAGAAAGAATGGAGCCAAAAATTCATCATGCTTGCAACTGAAAGACATGCCATTCAGTGACATACAGATGGTTCCAAAACCATAAAAGGAACTGGATCAGGAATGTATGGGCCTAGAACCAGGGCACTCTGAAAGTTTAAGTAAATACCCAAGCAGCTTCCAGGCATCATGCATCGCAAAATCATCCATGAGGAAATAAAAAGAATACCTGCATTACTATTTAGGTGTAGAGTAGTTAGTGTGTTATCCTGAAATTTGGCTCTTCTCAGGACTGAATGTGGGAAAATTGTGATTTCAGGCAGTGGGATGTTGTAAAAACATAAAAATATTATTATGCAGATCATTACAACAAAATTCTCACAAATGGTAATCAAGACAAGTTTCATGTTCACGAGAGTGTTCCGAACTATTCTGAAATCCCTCTCCTTTACTCTTAACTGAGAGAAAAAGGGGCAAATGATTTTCAGAGTGAAACAGGTATTAAATCCCTAAGAAACACCGTTGCCACATAGCAAAATAGAAATGCAGTTTAAATACCTAACTTTCTTTCTCAATTTTAACTTCCTAGTAATTATTTTTTGATATTTTTCATAAGAACATTCCACACAGTGCAGACAAACAATAAACCATCTTTTATTAAAACTAAAGTTACCAAAATCTTAAAAACATAAAAAGTCAAATCTGAAATATTTTAATTATTTTGACCGACCTAATACATTCTTACAAGTAACCTGAACAAAATTGTAATTTGTAAATTCTAATAAACTGCTGTGAATGTTAATGTATACATTCCCAAGGGGAAAGATAATTAACACTAATGCGCTAGTTCAGTGTGATGTCATTTTGGTTCCACTGACATTTAATTCTAACCAAACTTTTAACAAAAACATCAATAAATTTGACATATACGTTTTTACTGTTTTTATTTTATTTCAAAATATTATTTACAGGTCATAAAAAATAGTTTAAAGGTATGTAATTGGTAACTAAATGATTGTATATTTGATACATGCTATCTACTTACTTTAGGAATATATTTATAAAAGTGAAAAAACGATATAATTTAGGTAAACAAAACGCACTCAAAAAATCTACTGTCACTTTAATTGTCAGTAGAACCATAATTACATAATCACTGAACTAGCGCATAGGAAAAAATACGAGGTCTGATCAATAAAAATATTGAAATACATGTACGTAAAAAATCAATTTTGAAAACGTATGTTGTCAGGTCATCGACGCCAAACAGTCAAGTTAAATCCGTTTTATGTTAGAAAAAATTAAAGAGCTTGACATACAATGACATTGGGATTTTTTAAAATAACAATATGAAATGTTTCATTTTCCAGATTTGGTTTGAATATAGGTAAGTCTCAGTTTTTTGAAATGGGTCTTGTAATAGGGCAAAAATTGCAATAAAATATTAGGAAAATAAATTTTTATTTATTTCCAACAATACCAAGAAATGTATAATTGGTTAATTTAATTAGAAAAACGAACTTAATGAACAGGATCTTAAACACCGTGGTACTGCATAAAAGTGACTTCAAAAGCAATGTAAAAAATTGATATATCTATGAGCATGCATACTATTTTTGGATGACTAATTAGGAAAATATTCCTACAACTTGATTCCCTGCCCTTCTAAGCATAAAAATCATATCTGCATTTTTAGCTACCCTAAAGTCAGGTGACTTTGACACGCATGGGTGACTTTAGCTCAAATAAGTAAATAGTTATTTTTGTTCAAAAAAAATTCATATTTTTAAAATAGAACTCACACTGGTTGAACTAACTGTAAGGTATTAAAATTACCCAAAACATTTTATTTAAAGACAATTGGACGCTTAAGCTTTTTGTAGTATAAAAAATTAACTCATTGCAAAATAATCGAAATTGGAAGGTGATAAAATTTGTATGCAACCAACAACACTGTTGTTTGTAATATTTTTTGTTATTATCTTTACCATAAGCAATAAAAAATATTTTTTTAATGATAAAATGTGTTTTACTCTCAACTGTCATGGGTGGCTTTAAACCAGCAAGTAATATAGAGAAAACAATGTAAAATGATAGGTAAGTCAAAGTCACCCTCTACCTGCGGGTGGCTTTGCACACCCCTTTTTTATTTTTTATTTGAAAAATTAGACCATTTGAGATATTTTTGCTTAATAATTCTTAAAATATAACTGAAGACTAAATTATGGCAAAAATGCGAATTTGGATTTGCTTTTATTTAACAATTAAAACTCTGTTTAAATTTTGACAATGAGTCAAAGCCACCCGACTTTACAGTATATTAGAGGTACCTATCTTCTTTATAAGCGTTCGACTCCTGTGCCTCCTATTTTTCATGTATTATATAGTCTTATCTACAGCAGCACTGCGAATTTTATTTTACAATTAAAACCAATTGTCATATCTACAAACTTGATGGTATTTTTAAACAGAATTTACGTATCTGAAATACATTATTAGTCATATCGGATATGACTTTTATGCTTAGAAGAGCAGTATTTTTCTACAAGGAAGTTTCTTTATAAAAAAAAGGAAAATACTTAATTTTCCGATAATTTTCATTTTTTTGCAACTTTTCAACCATCTCCATAGTTACTATGAATGCAATACAAATTTTGAAATAAGGTACATTAGTGATGACGTAAAATATGAGCCAAATATTAGACCAAAATATCTAGTTTTTGAAGTAATTATTTCATTTGATTTATTTTAAAAAATATATTCGCAAAGTAATTAGATACATTTTTAGTGAAATAATTATTGTTAAGTAATCAAATATTTTAAATAATTTGTATTAACAATAAGGACCATTTCATAATTCATTCATTTTTAATTATTAAGATGTAGCATTTATTTTTCAAAAATAGTAATATTTTATAAACTATTATTAAGTATACAAAATGTAACAATATAAATAAAATAACAAAATGCTAATTAATTAAATAATAATGAACTAGATATTTTTGCTGAGTTGACCAGAATTCTTGTTTTCTAATGTTTAATATTTCATATTTAAGCAGGGCCAGGCTGAACTTAGCAGCATCTGGCAGGATAATTATGCAGTAGGTAGGTGTAGATTTTTGAGGTAGTGAGACCCCCTCAGTCAATGTATTTTACTTGATCAGACCTCATATTAATTCTTGAAGCATTGAAAAGTTTTAATTTTTTTTTTAAACTTTGAACAATTATTTGCTATTTAAGATATCATATTTGTAAGATTTTTATCTCTAAATAAGCAAAATAATATGTGGGCACTCATATTTTTTATAATAAAATTACAAAATAAACTAGTTTAGTGGTTGCTTTTTTTGTAAAAAAAAAAAAAATAATCTTAAAATATAAGAAATAAATCAAAATACCTTCCATTTTTCTGCTTCTGCATCTGCTTGAGGGCATTGTGTAACATCCTAGCATCCTGCTTGATATCAGGTACTTTTTCATTCTTGACAACTCCACAAGATTTTCCAGGACTGTGTATTTTATTCCTAACTATTTTTCTCACAGAATTACCCTCTTCGATACCCTTAAAAGAAGCCCTTCTTATTCTAGGTTTTTTCTGTGCATTTTTCAATCTCTGCAACAATTTCTGGTACTCTATTTGTTTCACTTTCGGTAGTAATTTAACGGCAGACTTTTCTAATATCACAGAATCATTTGGTTTTTGAGGTTTTATTAGTTTTGATTTAGGTGTTACTGGTATGACTGGATTAGCCACCAACTGTGCTTCCACCTTGGCTCTTTGTTCCTTCAAAAATCGTTCTACAGTGTTCTCAATTTCACTGTTTATTTGATTTATTGGAAGAACAGTGTCTTTTATATTTGGATTAATTACAGTTTTATTTCCTTCATCTTCACTCTCAGTGTCTGTGTTTATATTTATTATTATTGGTTTTATTTTTGATGGGATATGTTGTCTTAATGGCACAGATTTTTTTACAAAAACATTAGGCTTAGCTATGTTTTGATTCGGTTTAGGGTCAATATTTTTGGGTAATTCTACTTTTTGTACCACAATGTCTTTTGTCATCTTTTTTGACATTGATGCTAATAGTAGAGCTCTAAGTACATCCTCATCTTCATCTGGGGGAGTAGTGTTTACATCAGGTTCATCTAGACAAATTTTTTTAGTTTGCATATTTTCATTGCCTGTATTTTCTTTATTAGTTTCTAAATTATCAGTTTTCCCTTCTTTTTCCTCCATTTCTTTAACTTTTCTCTTTTTTCTATGTTCGGCTTCCAATCTTAATTGTATTAGTTCATCATCAATTTCATCAATATTTTGCTTATCTTCAATTGGTTTTTCATTATTATCAGACTTAGGGCTATCAATTTTCATTTCTAAAATATCAACTGGCCTTGTCATGGCTCTTAGCCTGGATTTCAAGCTGTTTTTTGTACAATCCTCCTCAGCTTGTACCCGAATTGCGGCCTTGAGTTGATTTTGAAGTTTCCTATCCAACTCAATGTCAAGAGAGGACTCACTGTAACTACTACTTGAGCTACTCTCCATCAATCTCTTCCATTTCTTCTTCTTGTGGTACTTGCTGAACCATTTGTCTTTAATTTTTTTCTTGATTTTAATATGGTGATTGTGATGCCCACGATGGTGGTGGTGGTGATGATGGTGCCCATGGAATTTTTTGAATCTCTTGATCTTCCTATCTTCTTCCTCGTCGCCACTGACACTGCTCAAAGAAATAACTGGTAAACGTTCTTTAGGAAATAAAGACTTACCCGTTTCATTTAAAATTATAGAGTTATCTGATATTTCATCGAAATCATCGTCAATGATTTCACCTTCCTCTGGGTCTGCCTCGGAGCTTTTCGACATTTTTTTTTATAAATGTGTTAGTTTAAATCAAAACTGCTATATCATCTTTTTACAAGATAAAAATTGATTGATATGATTTAATTTAATTCCCGTAACAAACGCGCACACTGCAAAAGGTAGAACGAGTACGAGTAGAACGAAAATTATAAAAAGATAAAATTGTCAAAAGTCAAAAGTGACAATTAACAACCCATGATTCACGCATTGCGTTCGGTTTGCCACGTTCCTTTAACTCCTTTAACCCTTTTAACTCCAAACGACTCTTTTAGCGTTCGGTTTAGTCCCCTCTCTACTTCTTTGGTTTAGTCCGATTAGTGACAGTTTAACACGCTTAAATGTCATTTAAAAGCACCCTAAAATTTGTCCCGCTCCAGCCCCTGACTGACCGAACTCGCCTGATAAATAGCGGAAACTTATCACAAATCACGTTCAGAAACCTGACAAGGTGGGTTCGGTTTGGTCAGAAGTTGGAGCGGAACAGGAGCAGAGATTTAAGGGTATTTTCAGTGAGTTGGGCTCACGGCATGTGCCAACTACAGTCAATTTCGTGAACTTTATAAAAAGAAGGACTTACATTTGAAATTTGACCATTGCCGATTTTACTGCTTCTCTGTAGTCTTCATATTAATAACATAATTATCATTTTTAACAAAATTTTAAAAAATTCATGTTATTCATTATTACTAACAAAATATTAGGCGATTTGCATAATATATATATAGGATCATAGATTAGGAGAAAGTAAACATAGGATCCATTTAATTAGGAAATTGAACTTAAATGATTTTTTTTTCAAGCTTGGGTGTTATTTTGTTGTTATATATAGATACCATAATTTAATAATTTATATGTTTTTGTGTTAGTATTGACTATATTTTCCTATATATAACAGGGCAGAACTAAATTAATGTTTAAAATGCCGGAGTGAGCAGTGGAGATATTTCCGATTGCCACAAAATATGGGTAAATTCTTATCGAAGAAAGGACAAACTTAATTGAAATCGCGCTATCCATTTTGAGGAAAGTAGTTGTGAGATTCCTCTTAAACATAGACGCAAGAAGAGGAAACTGAATTCCACCAGGTGCACGGGCCTCATTAAGCAAAGAAAATAAATCGGTATTTAAAAATTTTAGTAAATAAAACAGTAGTTTCCTGTCCCAATACAACGGTCCTTTTGAAGTAATGCCATGCATGAGCAGGACACGAACATATATAAGAATAAGATAAATTAACAGGAAAATTGGTTTTGAGTATTTTCAAAGTAAACTTGACAAAAATGTTTAAATTTACCAAATAAAAAGTATATGTTTTTGTGTACTTAAATAATAAATAAATAAATAAATAAATAAATAAATAAATAAATAAATAAATAAATAAATAAATAAATAAATAAATAAATAAATAAATAAATAAATAAATAAATAAATAAATAAATAAATAAATAAATAAATAAATAAATAAATAAATAAATAAATAAATAAATAAATAAATAAATAAATAAATAAATAAATAAATAAATAAATAAATAAATAAATAAATAAATAAATAAATAAATAAATAAATAAATAAATAAATAAATAAATAAATAAATAAATAAATAAATAAATAAATAAATAAATAAATAAATAAATAAATAAATAAATAAATAAATAAATAAATAAATAAATAAATAAATAAATAAATAAATAAATAAATAAATAAATAAATAAATAAATAAATAAATAAATAAATAAATAAATAAATAAATAAATAAATAAATAAATAAATAAATAAATAAATAAATAAATAAATAAATAAATAAATAAATAAATAAATAAATAAATAAATAAATAAATAAATAAATAAATAAATAAATAAATAAATAAATAAATAAATAAATAAATAAATAAATAAATAAATAAATAAATAAATAAATAAATAAATAAATAAATAAATAAATAAATAAATAAATAAATAAATAAATAAATAAATAAATAAATAAATAAATAAAATAAAAATAAAATAAAAATAAAATAAAAATAAAATAAAAATAAAATAAAAATAAAATAAAAATAAAATAAAAATAAAATAAAAATAAAATAAAATAAAAATAAAATAAAAATAAAATAAAAATAAAATAAAAATAAAATAAAAATAAAATAAAAATAAAATAAAAATAAAATAAAAATAAAATAAAAATAAAATAAAAATAAAATAAAAATAAAATAAAAATAAAATAAAAATAAAATAAAAATAAAAATAAAATAAAAATAAAATAAAAATAAAATAAAAATAAAATAAAAATAAAATAAAAATAAAAATAAAATAAAAATAAAATAAAAATAAAATAAAAATAAAATAAAAATAAAATAAAAATAAAATAAAAATAAAATAAAAATAAAATAAAAATAAAATAAAAATAAAATAAAAATAAAATAAAAATAAAATAAAAATAAAATAAAAATAAAATAAAAATAAAATAAAAATAAAATAAAAATAAAATAAAAATAAAATAAAAATAAAATAAAAATAAAATAAAAATAAAATAAAAATAAAATAAAAATAAAATAAAAATAAAATAAAAATAAAATAAAAATAAAATAAAAATAAAATAAAAATAAAATAAAAATAAAATAAAAATAAAATAAAAATAAAATAAAAATAAAATAAAAATAAAATAAAAATAAAATAAAAATAAAATAAAAATAAAAATAAAATAAAAATAAAATAAAAATAAAATAAAAATAAAATAAAAATAAAATAAAAATAAAAATAAAATAAAAATAAAATAAAAATAAAATAAAAATAAAATAAAAATAAAATAAAAATAAAATAAAAATAAAATAAAAATAAAATAAAAATAAAATAAAAATAAAATAAAAATAAAATAAAAATAAAATAAAAATAAAATAAAAATAAAATAAAAATAAAATAAAAATAAAATAAAAATAAAATAAAAATAAAATAAAAATAAAATAAAAATAAAATAAAAATAAAATAAAAATAAAATAAAAATAAAATAAAAATAAAATAAAAATAAAATAAAAATAAAATAAAAATAAAATAAAAATAAAATAAAAATAAAATAAAAATAAAATAAAAATAAAATAAAAATAAAATAAAAATAAAATAAAAATAAAATAAAAATAAAATAAAAATAAAATAAAAATAAAATAAAAATAAAATAAAAATAAAATAAAAATAAAATAAAAATAAAATAAAAATAAAATAAAAATAAAATAAAAATAAAATAAAAATAAAATAAAAATAAAATAAAAATAAAATAAAAATAAAATAAAAATAAAATAAAAATAAAATAAAAATAAAATAAAAATAAAATAAAAATAAAATAAAAATAAAATAAAAATAAAATAAAAATAAAATAAAAATAAAATAAAAATAAAATAAAAATAAAATAAAAATAAAATAAAAATAAAATAAAAATAAAATAAAAATAAAATAAAAATAAAATAAAAATAAAATAAAAATAAAATAAAAATAAAATAAAAATAAAATAAAAATAAAATAAAAATAAAATAAAAATAAAATAAAAATAAAATAAAAATAAAATAAAAATAAAATAAAAATAAAATAAAAATAAAATAAAAATAAAATAAAAATAAAATAAAAATAAAATAAAAATAAAATAAAAATAAAATAAAAATAAAATAAAAATAAAATAAAAATAAAATAAAAATAAAATAAAAATAAAATAAAAATAAAATAAAAATAAAATAAAAATAAAATAAAAATAAAATAAAAATAAAATAAAAATAAAATAAAAATAAAAATAAAATAAAAATAAAATAAAAATAAAATAAAAATAAAATAAAAATAAAATAAAAATAAAATAAAAATAAAAATAAAAATAAAATAAAAATAAAATAAAAATAAAATAAAAATAAAATAAAAATAAAATAAAAATAAAATAAAAATAAAATAAAAATAAAATAAAAATAAAATAAAAATAAAATAAAAATAAAATAAAAATAAAATAAAAATAAAATAAAAATAAAATAAAAATAAAATAAAAATAAAATAAAAATAAAATAAAAATAAAATAAAAATAAAATAAAAATAAAAATAAAATAAAAATAAAAATAAAATAAAAATAAAATAAAAATAAAATAAAAATAAAAATAAAATAAAAATAAAATAAAAATAAAATAAAAATAAAATAAAAATAAAATAAAAATAAAATAAAAATAAAAATAAAAATAAAAATAAAATAAAAATAAAATAAAAATAAAATAAAAATAAAATAAAAATAAAATAAAAATAAAATAAAAATAAAATAAAAATAAAATAAAAATAAAATAAAAATAAAATAAAAATAAAATAAAAATAAAATAAAAATAAAATAAAAATAAAATAAAAATAAAATAAAAATAAAATAAAAATAAAATAAAAATAAAATAAAAATAAAATAAAAATAAAATAAAAATAAAATAAAAATAAAAATAAAAATAAAAATAAAAATAAAATAAAAATAAAATAAAAATAAAATAAAAATAAAATAAAAATAAAATAAAAATAAAATAAAAATAAAATAAAAATAAAATAAAAATAAAATAAAAATAAAATAAAAATAAAATAAAAATAAAATAAAAATAAAATAAAAATAAAATAAAAATAAAATAAAAATAAAATAAAAATAAATAATAAAATAAATAATTTATTTCTGCACACTTATTTTTACTTCACATCATAAGAAAAGAGATTGCCAGAGAACTACTACGCCCAGAAAGTACAAATTTGAGTCAAACTTATATTTTTAGTCTGTATCTCTTACTTATCTTATGGCCAGGTTATGGATTTTGTCACAAAATACCTATAATTTATGAGAAAAATTTATAATTTTGTTAGTATTATTTACCTTAAACCTTCATATTTGTAAATGAATATATTACAAAATAATCAATAAATCTTAAGTAACTGCATAAAATCTAAAAACTGACAAAATATCGAAATTTAAACCCTATCTCCCATTTAATGTTTACAATTCTATGTCCCACGTGACGTCACCGTCAGTCAGCTGCATGCGCAGGAACATACCGTTAGTCTGTGTATCGTGCGTTCCGACCACATACTTTGATTTTCTCTTACTATACGGAGAATTAGGCATTCCAACGACCTGTCAAACAATAGGTGCCATGGGAAATTCTTGTATATTTAAGGGGGGTAGCGACATAGTCTTGTAACTTGGACGCTATTTTTATTCGAAGTAGTACTCGCCAAGCCTGCCAATTTATGAAGAAATGTATAGGTGGGTTTTTTAAATATTATTTTTATTGTGTTTGACATAAAATATTTAAATGTAATCCATTATTCATGATTTTACGTAAAGTAGATAGAATACACCATATGTCGCCACCCTTAGATATACCAAACCTGCCCACTGGTAATTCATTTGTTTGGAATGCCTAATAGTCGCACTGCGCAGCTTTCTGAGTGCCTTGTAAAAGGAGATAGAAAACTCTGCCATTTTGATGCCTTATTACGTGTTGCCTACATCTTGGCGCAATATTTTTAATATTTTGCTTGCTGCTGTCAGTGTCTGTGAATATTATTTTTGGATTCACTCCACATACTTTGATTACTATACGAGGCAAGAAAGAGGTCCGACACGCCCAACATAGAGCGCGGCCATTTTGAACCCTGTGACACAGTTTACAGCTAAAGAATCAGATCGCTCACTCTGCGTCGGCACTTTTGATCTCAATGTTTCAGTTTATACACTGTGCAACTCGGATAATACAATATATGACAACCGCCTATAATAAAACAGCAGTCTTCTGCGTATCCTGAATTTGTATCCCTGGGGTAGATGTTATTTTGGAACTTTCAACTGGTCCGAGTGAGCTAACTGATTCTTTAGCAATAAACTGTGACTACAAAAATAATATTGACTGACACTGACAGCAGCAAGCAAAAGATCAGGTGCGTTTTAATCATCCGCTTCTGCTTCCGGAATTGTCGGTTTAGTCGTTTTAACCTGTCAGATTAAAACAAGAAAACCGACAATTCCGAAGCAGAAGCGGATGATTAAAACGCACCTATTAAAAATATTGCGCCAAGAAGTAGGCAACACGTAATAAGGGTTCAAAATGGCGGAGTTTTCTATCTCCTTTTAAAAGGCACTCAGAAAGCTGCGCAGTGCGACCAAAAAGAAAATCAAAGTATGTGATTCACTCATTGCGTTAGGTCTGCCAAGTTCCTTTAACTCCTTTAACACTTTTAACTCCAAACGACTCTTTTAGCGTTCGGTTTAGTCCGATTAGTGACAGTTTAATACGCTTAAATGTCATTTAAAAGCACCCTAAAATTTGTCCCGCTCCAGCCCCTGACTGACCGAACTCGCCTACTGTACCATAGCACTGTACAGTTAAGTGTTCTGTGGTACAGTTGTGATCCGACAGAATTAAACACTGGTCCATAAATACTGCAAAACGATTGGTTAAGGAAATCATTCAAAAAAGATGTAAGAATATTCTTGATTCAACAAAAGTATAAATACATAAACAACCCTAAAAAACATTTAAAAACAAATGTCCGATTTTGAGATTATATCTAAATTTATCAAAAATATATTGGATGGAAGATGGCCATAAATCGTGAAATGCAATACTGGTGCCATCTAGCAACAGATAGTCACCACACTATCGAGTTGCACATATTACTTGTAGAGGCCGAAACTTGATTTTAAATTAACGCACTTTTCTCTCACGCTCATGGAGAAACGATTATTACTCACGTTCAGGCCTCGCAAAGAAATGGAGACAGGCGTAACAAAAAAGCTACAAATAAGTTACAAAAAATGAGGCAGGGCCGAGCTGGTGCCGCTACAAATATCCGCTAAGCTAGCGGATCCGCGCTTTTCTCGGGTTCAGTACAAGCTACAAAAGGGAGACTAGCGTAACAAAAAAGCTACAAAAAAGTTACGAAAAACCAGCTGGGCCTGAATCTGTGCCGCTACTATGGAATTTATGGAAATTCAAGCTAGCGGATCCGCTGTTTTTTCGGACCTGGGCAAAGCTACAAATTCGCAAATAGCGTAACAAAAAAGCTACAAAAAACCCACCAGGTCTTGTATGGTGCCGCCACAGAGGGCCCGCTAGCTTGATATAGCCGCCACAGCTTGCCCGCTAGCTTGATATAGCCGGTTCCGACGAATTTTGTCCGGACGATTGAAAATTTGACGCTCTCCATTTCTGAACGCACCCCTGCTCTCACCTGTCATTAGTCGTAGTCACGTCATCACTGTCAACTGTCAAAATAATAGAAAAAGTGTTTACATGTTTTTGTTTATGTCGGGTTTCTATTAATTTTCAGATTTATTAATTTATTTTAGAACAATGGGAAGGTCGAAAAATTCGCCAAAGAAACGCAGTAATTCAATGGATGTTAGCGGTCCTTGTATGGATTACATTCCAGTAATAAAAAAGCGTAAACGAAAAATCCAAAACAAATCTGAAATATTATTCAATATATCCCTCTCGTCTAATTCCTCTACAAAATTATATTTAGGTGAAATACTATTAGGTCCTACAAATAATATATTTCCTCAAGACTACGAAAAGGTGAAAATTTCTTTTAGATTTTCAGAAGACATTGATCAGGAACTTTGTGATGATGATGATGTAAGGGATGCTATCATAGTAGTTTGTGATACAATTTTAGTAGTTATCAAAAGTATCACCGATACACATTTTATTAAAGGTTTGTAGCCAATATTCAATAGTTAAACCCTAAAATTCATTTTATATGTTCTTCTTCAGAATTAGTCAAGGAGAAGATATTTTCCTTTGATTTCGTCTACAAAGATGAAAATGTCTATTTAAAAATTTATTTTGGAATTCTACCACTGCCTCATTTTTCCCCGAAACTTGGAAATACTATAAAAACTCTGTTTTCTATGGTTTTGAATGGGATTGATCTGCTGCTAGGTAGGTTTTGCATTTTTGTGCTTCAAATATCTGTAGTAGTTATAAAAAAATGTTTTTAGATGATAGCTTTACAAGTTCACATAAAAAAAATCATGGAAGTAGTGAAATATCAAAATTATATGAAAAATTGTCTGAAATGAGAAAAACAGATGGTTATATAAAAAATGAAATAGCACAACATATTTATTTAAGACCTACTTTAAGACATTATCAAGAACAATCTGTGCATTGGATGTTGCACAGGGAACATATCCAAAACAATTGTACAGGTATTAAAATGCTTTTTTTTATTTATTAAGCAAAACCCCATTCTGTAATCTACGAAACCTAAAAAAAATTATACCGTTTTAAATGCAAATGGCTTCTTCATAGTCATTTTACATTTTTTTTATTGAATTGTCTACAGGTAACCTACAAAATTAAAAAAAAAATAATTTTTTACTATAAATGACTAAAACTCTTCTGGACCTCTTCTTTCATTTTCTCTCTTTCAAGTTCAATTACAACTCCTGGTTTATTTGCCTCCCTAATTCCTGCTCTGCCTCCTTTCACTGTCTTCTTTTCAAAATACTTGAATAATATCTGATAATATTAACCCAGCCAGTCAGCTGCATGGAGGAAGGATTATTAAGAGTTGCTGTTTCTTTGTATAAACGTGGCAACATGTTTGCTATCAGCGCCAAATGGGAGGGATTTGTCCAACTGTTTCTCAGTCGGTAATATAGATACCTGCATATTTTATTTTATTTAAAAATTAGCAGGATTTTGTTTATAGCTCTACTTTAATTAGTATTACTAAAATTTTGCATTTTTATTGGCATTTTTTACAACACAGACAAGGTGCAAGATGTAACAAAATGCCAATCAAAATGTAAAATTTTATGACCCATAATTTTAGGAAGGGTAAAATAATGTAATATAAAATAATTGTATTATCTATTATATCATTAAAACTAATTTATAATAAATTTTCTAAATAAACAATATTTTAATAAAACAACTAAAACTTTCTGTAAACTTGGGTAGGTAACAAAACACATGAAGGAGAACCATCCATATAATCTGAAACAGAAAAAAATTCAAAGTAGTATTTTAACTTCATATCTTTTGAATCTCTTTTTTTTTTTTAGACATTGTCACAGTTTTATACTTTCATTATAATATTTTATAATTAATAATGGTAGTCCCTCCATCTTTTTTAATTAGATGTAGTACTTTAAAAAAAACAGATGTCTGTGGGATCAAGCTTTGAGGTCCTTCTTTGATTCGCAAATTTTACTTTGCTGTTTACTAATTATAAAATAGAGTTTTTTCTTCCTTGCAGCTAACCATTCACTGGTTTGATTTAAAAATCCAAGATCTAATTATTGTTTTTTAGGTAATAATTATATTTCATTGGTGAAATTCTAATCGAATGTAACTTTCTTTTCACTGGTAATTTGTTTGACGGTATGATAACAATATTACTTTAGTATTACTCTTTACTGTTAATTTAGCTTTCAAAGGTTACAAAGGTATAGCCAATTTACAGTCTTGTAACCTATAAATGGTTTTTCGCAAGTGGAATGATGAAGTTTATGCGGCATCATTTAGTTCCTTGCTTAATATTGGAGGAAATAAAAAATATGTGTTCTTAAAATTTACAGCATAAATTGGACAGTAAATTCTATTCTTTATCTTTATACAAACAACGCTATTACAGTTAGATATTATGAATTTATTAAATAAATAAATAAATATATATATTACGGAATAATCCATTAGTATCAATAAATTACATAAAATAGCTTAAGTACATTAAAAAAAAAAAAAAAAAGTAGGCACAATAAATCTAAAATTTCATATATGAAATGTAATAAACTAAACTAAAAATATTAAAAACAAATTCTCTTTACATCATTCACAAATTGACTAATAGAACACCCAGTGATGTCTAAATTGTATTGATTAGCCAGTCACATTAGTCTAGGTAGAGGTGCATGATAAGCATAATTGGTAAGGTGAAGTTGAATGGCAAATAAACTATTATTTCTTGTAGTTCTTGTGGGAACTCTAAATTCAATTATAGCTAATAACTCATCAGAAGTAATAATCCCAGCTATGATCTTATGGAGGAATGATAGATCCATCAATATTCTTCTATTAACAAGGGTTGGGAGGTTTATTAAGTCCAGAATTGTGGAATAATTATATGTACCTGCTGCTAGACCAACTTTTAAGGCACAGTATCGTAGATATTTATTTTGGACGTTTTCAATCCTTTTTACAGAGTTTATGTAAAATGGACACCATATGGTAGAGCTGTACTTCAAAATGGACCTCACATATGCAATATAAACCATTCTACAGGCATCTAAAGATAACGAGCTAGAGTTTCTTATCAGCATGCCTAACATTTTCATTGCTCTATTAACTATAAGATTGATATGATTATTAAACGAAAGATCTGAGCAAAATACGATTCCCAGGTCTTTAATTTCGGTAACACGTTTAATTAATGTATTGTTATTCAGAGAGTAGTTATGTGTTATTTGATTATGATTTTTTGTAAAAGTAATGCAGTAACACTTACTAGTGTTTAGGGTTAGACCATTAGAGGAAGACCATTTACATAAGGCATGGAAATCTTTTTCAATATTATTACAGCAATCACCACTGTTAATCTTTAAGTAAATCTTTAAATCGTCAGCAAATAGCAGATAATTACTATATTCAAAAACAGATCCAACATCATTAATGAATAGATTAAAAAGTAATGGAGCTAAGTGGGCCCCTTGCGGTACACCAGAAGAAACTTCTATGGGATCAGACAAATAATTCTTTATTTTGACACGCTGCACTCTACCAATGAGATAACTTTTAAGCCACTCTAGAAGAAAGGGAGGGAATCCGTAGGCTTGCAGTTTGAGTAATAGTAATTCGTGATTGACTTGATCGAAGGCTTTAGAAAAGTCTGAATATATGGCATCTACTTGCAAACCGTTTTCTACAGAATTTATTATGTAATTGTGATAAATAACAAGATTAGTTGTAGTAGATTTTCCTTTTGTAAAACCGTGCTGCTGATCAGTAAGTAAGTTTTTGCAGTGCCAAGATAAACAATTATTTACCAGCTTCTCCAATAATTTTGGAATCGAGGATTGAATCGAAATAGGTCTGTAGTTCTGAATTTCCTGCTTGGATCCGCTTTTGAATACAGGTATAACATGACTCTCTTTCCATGAGTTAGGAAATTGTTGAAGTTTTAAGTATAATTTATAACCCCCGTAACGTAACTTAACTTAGCCCCGTAGAAACTTAACCTAAGATATAAAAATAAAGTCTATTTATAAATGTCCGTAACGTAAGAGTTGAGCATGCGTGTTGATTTCAGAGATTTTCAAATTACTGATAACGTTATGAAATAAACAAGTGTAAACTATGTACCTAACCTCTAAATAAAACTTATAAATTATGATTTTGCTATATAGAAAGAATATATTTACTACTTTAAAACAATAATATAAAAATATAATAAAACAGAATAGTTTACCGAAGATGTTGATTGTTTTTGAGCAATATTGAGAATTTAATCTTTCCTAGCAAACTAGTTTTGTGTCTTATTTCAGTTCTAGACTTGATGTTTATAGGTATATGCAGCAACACTCATATCTCATAAATAGTTTATCCCCAATAACATAAACACAAATCATTCATGATAATGTATGTCCATCAAAAAGGAGAATGATAGTTTACAAATGGTATTTGTCTATTCATTTATAAAAAAAATAAAAAGAGAATAATTGACAGTTATCACATGCTGAACTCAGAATTATCTCATTGGCTAACCGTAAGGTCTTAAGTTAAGTTAAGTTGTTAAGTTAAAAGTTGGCGAACTTTCTACGGTACGTTAAGTTCTTAAGTTACGTTACGAACATTATAAATAAGTATATGTAAATTCAATATTTCAACTTCTTACGTTAAGTTCTTAAGTTACGTTACGGCGGTTATAAATTAAGCTTAAGTTATTAAAAGTTGGCGAACTTTCTACGGTACGTTAAGTTCTTAAGTTACGTTACGAACATTATAAATCAGTATACGTAAATTCAATATTTCAACTTCTTACGTTAAGTTCTTAAGTTACGTTACGGCGGTTATAAATTAAGCTTTATTAGTGATAAATTAAACATTATAAGTAGTGGTTTGCATAAAGAGTAAATGCAATGTTTTAGGAAGTATGATGGAATTCCATCAGGACCACTGCTTAGTTTATCACTTAAGGAACCAATACCATTAAATATATCCTCAATGGAAAAACATATGGGTCCAATATCAACTGAGGAGGAAAAATTTAAATGATAGTTATCTGGGTTTAATTTATGATTAATAATATAATTTTTAGAAAAATATTCAGCAAATAGCGTAGAAATAGATTTACCATCGTTACCTATTTTGTCGTCCAGTGTCATTTGATCTGGGAGTTGAGAACTTTTTTTTATTGAATTAAAGTAAGACCAGAATTGACGAGGATCATTTGAAATTGACCTATTAACATTGTTTATATAAATAGCATAGCACTCATTGGATAAAGTCTTACACCTGCATCTTAAACTTGAAAATTGTAAATAGTCGTCATAATTGGAAGTACTTTTGTATTTTGCATGAGCCCTCTTTTTTTGCCAGATAAGTTGTTTAAGTTCAGGACTGAACCAAACCGGGAAAGTAGATTGTTTTCGTAGTTTTATTGGGACAAATAAGGCTAATGCATTATTGATTATTTGATAAAACTTAGTTATACTTGAGTTAATATTGGTTTCAATGATAATTTTTTCCCAATTAATTGGTGCTAAATAATTATTCAAACCTCTATAATCAGCGTTTTTAAAATCATAGTAATGTTCCGCATATTGGAGATTTTTACAATTAACAGATAGTGATAGAGTACCCACAAGAGCAACATGGTGGTAGTTATTAGGTAATAATAAATCATTAGCTTCCACCAGACTAATAGAATTAGGATATTGAGTAAAAATTAAGTCTAGAAATACATTGTGATTGTTAGGTATAGAGTTAATTTGATATAAGTTAAGGAAAGAGAACATTTCACAGAGAGTAACTCCTTGGTAGTCAGGAGGGCACTTTACATTTAAAACATCAACAATTTCCCACCTAGCCAGTGGAAGGTTGTAATCACCAAAGAGATACATATTTACATCAGGATTCCGCACTATTAAGTCCTCAACACTATGAGCATGAATAGAATAAGTTTCACTATCAGTTCCGGGTGGTATATAAGTAGCACCAAGAATAATAGAATTATGAGATTTAGGTTTTCCAATATATACAAAGACATGTTCCACAGTGGCGTCAGTGTTCAAACGTATTGACTGCAATGTATTTTTTACTGCAATAAGTGTTCCACCCCCTCTCGATTTTGAGCTGGTTAATTGATTCCTATCAGTACGATAAATGACGAAATTATCAAGTCCAATTTCTGCATCTGAGAAGTTAGTATTTAACCAAGTTTCAACTAGGATTATAACATCATAGGAGCTAAGTAGCACATTATGTCTTAATTCTCTTAGCCTAGTTCGCATACCACCGACGTTTTGATAGTAAATACTAAGATGATTATTTGAATTTATAGTTTGCTTGATAGAGTGTTGACAAGTAGGACTAGTTATTAGTTTTTTGATTGCACTATTTTGGGAATTCCATTTACATACTTAATAGTTATGTTATTTTCTCCATTTGATATTCTTTCAGAAAGCTCGTTTCTTAGTTTAGTTAGAAATGCACGTTGCTGAAAAGTTAGATCAGATCTTATTTGAAGCTGCATATTCTCATCGAGTTTACTTTTGTTTTTTAAGATGTTAATAGCATCAGATTCAGAGCTTAGTATTATTTTAATAGGTCTAGGTTTACTATTGTTGTCATTATTTTTGCCAATTCGAAATATTTTCTTAATGTTAACATTGTTAACTAAGGACCTCAAAATCGATGTAACGTTGTCACTATCGTCCGTAATTGTATCAGTGAGTGTGGATCTTGTTGATTCATTCAAATTATAGATAATCACATTTCTAGCTCTCGAACGCCTATCTTCCATTTCTGTTATAAATGATTCAACATCAGTAGTTTGCGGTAAATTTCTGCTTTCGCTGTTAGTTGGGTTGGGTTTCACTGATGGGCAGTTAATAGTTGATGTCATGATGTTGAGTGAATCTTCTAACTTAATTATTCTTTGTTCAATGGTAATGAACTTTCCTTTCGTTTCTGAGGTCTGATTTTGAGCATCCACTTCAAGTTCACTAATTCTCTTGATAAGATCAGGAATACATATTAAATTATCCCGGCAGGGTGGGCAGTAGAAAGGCATTACTCTAGAAACCATAATTAATACACGGATTTCAGATGACGAACAGGACCTGCTAAACACATGTTAAAACATCAAAATATCTTTGCTTAATTTTAAATTTAACATGTTTAACTAAAATTAAATAAAAGTAAAAGTACTTACCACGTTTTATTCAGCAACCATAACCATATTGTTTTGTTCAGTTTTGTTATTGTATCGGTTCGAACGGGTGACAATCCCAAAGTCAGATTTACATTGTACAAATAATTGATCAATTCATGTTTTTCAAATAATTGTAGTATTTATATAAATATATAATTTTAAAACAATTATTCAGTGTTCTTTAAATTTAAATATCATTTTATTATTGTAAAAGGGACATATGCGCGGATGTGTTGCACACTAACCTGTTGATATAACGCGCATATGTTATAAGCTCCCCTGGTCAGCCGTATGTGGATATCTCTCTTGTGTGTCTATTCACATCACACAACATTAATATTAATTGTTTCCTGCTCGCCCTAATGCTAACTCTATAGTTTTCACTTGAACATTAGCAAAACATATTGGAAAATGTTCAATAGCCGATACTGTATGTATTTCTATGATAGTACTATGAGTTAAGAGTACTACAAATTCCTTTACAAATTATCTAAGATTCTTCTCAGTTATTGATTTTAAATATAATAGTGTCCTGTTAACCCTACATAACCCTGAATCTATTGATGAGCATGCCCAGATGGATGTCATCTACACAGATTTCTCCAAGGCATTTGACAGAAGACCTCAGTATTCTTCTTGGAAAACTTACAGGGTTTGGGTTGTCCCCCCCTTTCATAAATCTCTTTCAGTGCTATTTAGTAAATCGTACTCAGTTTGTACAGCTACTGTCAAATTTGTAACATCTGGAGTTCCTCAGGGTTCCAATCTGTGCCCGTTACTATTTGATATTTTCTTCAATGATATCTCGAGTATAATTAACAAGCAGTTTCTACTGTATGCTGATGATTTAAAATTATACAAGTGTGTAACAAGTATTAGCGACTGTGAACAACTTCACATTAACTTAAATCTAGTGGTTGAATGGTGTAATAATAATAAACTTGAACTTAACCCAATTAAATGTAAATTTATGTCTTTTACTTTAAAAACCGACCAAATAAAATATAATAATTAATTCAATAGATAATGTCTCATTTCAGGGATCAGATACTTTTACAGATCTTGGGGTAATTTTTGATCCTGGATTGACCTTTATATGTCACATTGATAAAATGATTGGAACATCTTATCCTATGTATGGTTTTATAATTCTCTGTACCAGGGATTTCAAAGATGTAGATTAAAAACGTTATATTACTCTCTTATAAGATCAGTATGAGTCTGTCATCAGGAGTCCGTTTTACCAACTTCACATGGATCGAATTGAAGTAGTTTAAAGGTGGTTTCTAAAATTACTGTGTTTAAAGGAGGATGGTGTTTATCCACCAATCGGAGTATCACACCAAAATCTTCTTCAAAGATATCACTTTTTAAGCCTCATAAAAAAGACTTGAATACCATGTTAGGTTTCAAAATTGTTAACAGTTTAATTGATTCTCCTGAATTGTTGAGCAAAATTGATATCTGCATTCCAAGAGTATCCTCTAGAAATTCTGACATATTTCTCATATCTATACCTCACACAAGTGTTCTGAAAAATTCTCCATTTCATACTATTGGCCGCGTTGTGAATAGTGTGAATAGTGACATTGACATATTCTCATGGAAACTTAGGGAAATAAAATTGTGTTTTACTTACTAGCTGATTACAAATTTTTGTATATTTTGTTCCACTTAGTCTACATAATGTATGTGTTCTTTTTTTCTGTTCTGTAATTGGGATTGCCTGTAGAGCATTGTAATAAATAAATAAATACTTAATTCCTAAATTTTATCCTTATTTCCTAAATTTTATCCTTATTTCCTTAGTTATTAATATTTAAAACTTAAAATTACTATAAATTATTTAAAAATTTTACCTATGTATATTTTTATGTAGTTATGTTTTTTTTGTGTCATCGGCATCAACTGCTACGGTTATTAGCCTCGTGTTCTGTGTAGGCTTTGTTACTGTTTCTCAGCGCCACTTTAGGAACAGCACTGTTAATTAGTACCCAACAGTGAATGGTCGAGTAGGGAATCCTACCAAGGCATCAATTGTTAAATTTGTCACTGGATTCATTAATATGATAAACAAATATTAGTTGCTTTCTGATGAATTTTAACCTTAAAAACTTAAGAATACTGGTATAATATATTATCATTTACAACAAAATATAATTGCATTTTATTCGTAGTTTTATTAGTATAAGTAGTTATTTAGATAACAAAATATTCATAATTATAATTATTATAGAAATTACTATTCACTACCCTAAAAATTAAATAAATGAAAATTTATTTATTTTAGACAAACTTCATCCACTTTATACAGAAATAAAATTAGAATCCAATTTTGTAATATATTTCGACAAATATACAGGTTTTGTAACATCCGAAAAACCAATAATATCTCCAAACAGTAAAGGAGGCATATTAGCTGACGAAATGGGTTTAGGAAAAACTGTTGAAGTACTAGCATGCATATTACTTAATCCAAAAATAGAGGAATCAAACAAAAATTCTGATGAAAGTGAACCCGTTGCTAAAAAGGCAACTGAAGCAAAAATAGATGATTCAGACGAAAATTCTGATACAGAAAGTGAACCCATTGCTAAAAGTCGGACTAAAAATCGAAGGATCCTTGATTCTGATGATGAATCTGATACCGACTTTACACCAAAAATCAGTAAGCAACCAAAAAAACTGAAGATCAAAGTTCCTCTTGATAATGACAACATTGATGAGCCTAAAATATTGAATGTACCTGAAAACTGGGTTAAACCGTCTAGTAGGAAAAGTGTCAATAAAGTGGCATTAGAAATGTGGTATAACAGTATCTTGTCAGGAATGAGTACAGTAAACAACAATATCAATGAAAATCCAAATCGGATTTCTGTTCAGTGTATTTGTGGAAGTAATTCTGAAGATGATGCAATCAAATGTACGAAATGTCCTAAATATCAACACAAGAAGTGTTTGGGTTATAAAAAGTCTTTAGGTAAGTTTTTAAAATCCTACTTAGAATTAACAGATGACTTTTTAATAATAAAACCGATGCACCTCATTGATCATTTAAACAGTCACGACCATGCAGTATTATTTAATTTAAAGGTTTTGAAAATGTAAGGTTATATCACACTATGTTTCAAAAAACATTTTTTTTAAACTATAATTAGCAAAGCATAAATATTCAGATAAAATTATAAATCTACAGAAAACGGAATACACAATTGTAATAAACCTAGCCGAGAGTTAATATTTTAGAGACATAGATTAAATATCCACTCAAGATTAGTGAAATAAATTAAGATTTTATCTGAGAATTTGAGTTTTCTTCATCAGCATTACAATCATTATACTTTGCTTGTAGTATTAATTTTTTTACTATATCCAAAGGCTGAAAATTGGTTTTAAAACATGAAAATGCGACCATTGAGCGTATCCTCTCCGATTGCTTGACGCTCATTAGAAGATTTGTGTTCAGCGAGTATCGGCTAACATCGGCCGATATAAGAGAAGCACCTCTTGGCGTCGTTGTCAACTACTTTAAAACTGTAGGCTGGCTCACGAGCTAGGAGATGCCTATCATCTCAGGAGGAGGCACAATGGCCTAAGTGCCGTGAGGTAACTCACCCTCAACACGTTACAGATACAGTACGCTAACTGACGCACAAAGCAAAAGAAAGTTGAGGCGCTTAATTGTATTTGGGTGTGAAAAGGATAAAGAGAGTCGAACCATGTTCGTTTGACGGAAAGGATGGGATATTGCAGCACTATGTTATGTTGAGAATGGGGTGTTAATACACTGCGACCTAAAATATCTATTGTGCCCCCTTTTGTCGCCAATGCACTAAGTAAATGTCTCAATGCCTATAACGACCCTTCCAATCCTATTTTCTCAAGAAAGTGTAGGATTTGAAGTGGCTTCAAGTTAGGTAAATCTCCCTCTTCTATTTGATATCCTCCTAGATGTAGTGCCCTTGGATTCTGGAGTGCTACACATTCAGTTAGGATATGAATGGAGGTTTCGTCCTCCTCATAGAATCTGCACTCACTATCCTCTACTATTCTCAGTTTACTTAGGTGTCCTTTTAGTCGGCAATGCCCAGTAAGGATCCCTGTTACAATACGTAGCGTGTTCTTGCTCAGGCAGATGCAGGCTTACGATCTTTTCTGGTTATATTCACCCAGAAGTATCTTGGACTGTCTCAGCCACAAGAGATTGTTCCAATTATTGGTTCTTCTACTGTCCAATTCTTTTTTAATCTCTCCTGATATTAAGTTACTGCTGATACCGCTGAACGGCTCAGGTCCTACAAAGGGTGTTTGAGCTCCTTTCCTTGCAAGACTATCCACAATCTCGTTACCCTGTACCCTGTTATGTCCCGGGACCCAAGTGAGAGTAACTCTATTTTTCTCGCCTAGCTCATTCAATTGTTCTAGGCATCTCCAGACCATTTTTGAGCTGATTACGTAAGAACTCAGCGCTTTGATGGCTGCTTGACTATCGGACATGATGATAATCTCTTGTCTATGATAGTTCCTCTCGATGTTAAACTGGATACACTTCTTGATGGGGTGAATTTCCGCCTGGAAGATGCTTGGGTATTTTCCCAAGCTTTCGGAGTGCTTGGTTCTCGGCCCATACACTCCTATTCGTTCCTTCTATGGTTTTGGAACCGTCCGTATACCACTGAATAGCACGTCTTTCGTTGCAAGCTCGATGGATTCTTGGCTCCATTCTTTCTTGCAGCCCAGCTCTGTGGTTTTGAAGTTTTTCACAAAACTGTACTTCTTTAGCATTTCATCCTGGGGCATGTCCCAGGTATCTTTAGTCCTGAAGCAAGTAGACTTTCGCTTGATTACTCCGTTTCTGATCATTCTATATAGTGTCCTTTTTGCCACATTCTCTATCATCAAATGTAGAGGGGCGAGGTTTAAGATCACCTCCATTGCGGCCGTAGGACAGGTTCTCATTGCACCAGTAATACAAACACAGGCTAGTCTTTGTACTTTTGAGATATTAGTAGTAGCTAAACTAGTTCTGTTACTCCAGGCTATAACCCCGTAAGTGATTGGTCTCACTATTGCAATATACATCCATCGTAGTATATTTGGGTTGCATCCCCATCGTTTACCTGCAATGTTTCTGCATACCATTAGGGCTTTTCAGGCCTTATTTACTACTTCCTTCTTATGTGTGTTCCAGAGAAGTTTGTTGTCCAGGGTAAGGTCTAGATATTTGACTTCATTTTTCCATTCTATATCTATCCCGTCTAATTTAACGGTTTTGAGATTAAGTTTTCTTTTCCTTGAAAAGGCCACTAGTGTTGTTTTTGTAGGGTTTATACTAAGTCCCACTTCACGGCACCATCTTTTGGTATGTTCTAGTCCTCGTTGGACTATATCACACAGGATATTACTAAACTTGCCACTAGCAAATATGACTGTCGTCGGCATAACCTTGACAGGGTATGCCAAGGTCAATCTGCATAGAAGTTCGTCAACGATTAGGCTCCACATTAGTGGGGATAGAACTCCTCCTTGTGGACATCCTCTGGTTGTGCAGATGGAGATGGTGTCCTGCCCTATCTGTGTCTCTGCAGTTATGTTCTCGTAGATAACAGCTGAGCCATCCATCTGGATGTGATGTTATCTACTCCTCTGTATGCAAGTGCTCTTTTTACAGATTCGTGTGGCGTATTGTAAAAGCTCCTTCTATGTCTAGGAAGGCACACACGACCGTTTCTTTGTTTGTCAGTGCATCCTGGATTACGTCAGTCAACTTTACCAGGGCAGTTTCTGTAGATCTTCCTGCTCTGTACGCGTGTTGGCTGTGGTGGAGTGGCACCCTCTCCAGGACTTCTGTTCTGATATAATTATCAACATCCTTCTCCATTGTTTTTAATACAAAGGATGTGAGGCTGATTGGTCGGAAGGATTTAGGATGTGTGGTATCTTTTTCCCCACTTTTGGAATAAAGGTGACTCTGGCCCTTCTCCATGCTTCTGGTATATATCCCAGCTCCAGACTGCTCCCGGATAGCCGGATTATGTGTGATAGTAATTCCTCCTGTGCCTGCTGAAGCAGGGCAGGAAATATTCCATCCACACCTGGAGACTTAAACGGTTCAAAAGTGTTTACGGCCCACTTTAACCGATTTCTGCTGCATATGTGTTTGGCCACTACAGCGGCCTCTCTTGGGGGCCTGCTTACCTTAGTTGTGTCCCTTATTAGAAAAGGTGTGCTTCCAGGAAAGTGAGTTTCGAGTAAGAGGCGAGCTCTTTCTTTCTCACTCTCCGTGAAGCTTGTATTTGGTTTCTTTAATGCCATAAATGTATCAAACCCTGTGCAGTCTCGCTGCCGCAGGTGTAGAGTTAATATCCTCGCAGAATTTTCTAAAGCTGTTACGTTTAGCTTTCCTGATTTCTTTGTTGTAGGTAGTAAGCGCCTCGGTGTAGCTCTGCCAATATCCGCTGTGCTTGGCCCTAGTATAGAGCTTCCGCACTTCGGATCGTAAATTTGACAGATGACGGTTCCACCAAGGAGCATCCCTACTAGTTTTATTTCTTTGAATGGGACAGCTTGATTCATATGCCTCAAGTATTGCCCCATTTAGTTCTTCGAGATCGCTTTCCAGAGCAAGTGGGTGCCCGGGTCCCTTTTTTGTCTGGATACGTGCTAAATTTTGTTTTAGAATGATGTTGTATTTGTCCCAGTCTGTTTTTCTAGGATTCCTCCTAAGGATCGTCTCAGGAATGTTGCTCTCTAACGTAAACACAATTATCTTGTGATCAGATCGAGATGGTTCACTCGATACTCTCCAGTTTTTAACTAGATCTTTATTGCTCGGTGTACTTAATGTGATGTCTAATACCTTACTTCTTAACATTGTACGTATATGATTACAAAGCCAGACAAAAAAATAATGTACATATTATTATTTATCAAACGTTATTAATGAAAACTCAAAAGAACAAGAATATGATGAAGGTATGACAGAATTATAGTAACTCACCTAAGACAGCTAAAAATTTGAAAATATTCAACAAAAGACTATAAAAACTCTTGTTTTGTAATTTATTTATTTTTTATTTATTTTCATTATAAAATTCACATTTACATTTTTGCATGTTAAATTAAAATATAAGTAAACTGAAATTAAAATGTGCAAGCACCTGTATGTGCTAAAGGCAAAGTAATATTAGCTTATACACAAATTTATACATTTATACATTAATTTGAATAACAGTAACAAGAGTACAAAGCTGTATATGGTATTTTAATAAAATTATCATAAAAATATAAAAATATCCCAGTCACATTCAAAACACATTAAAAACTGCAAAATATAACAACATATTTAAAATTACGCAACACATAAAATATATTAGGTATTAAAAGCGATGGAGATGATTTTGACACAGGGCATTAATCGATTACTATTTCTAATAGTTTCTTTGGTCATAATATTTATCTACCTTTTAATTTTACTTCTTTGAATAATTATAAAGAGTTCTACTTTTATTTTTAATCATTGTTTTCTATTTATTAGCATTTTACTAAAATAAATTATTTCTTCTTCCTGTGACTGAATTAATTCTAAAATTATCAAAATAATGACGATTGCATTTATTGGTTTTTAGTAATTTACCTAAGTTCATGAATACTCGCGAATATTCGTGATATATTCGTGATATATGTTTCGAATTATTAACTTAGGGAAATTTTAAATAGTTGGTAGTACCTATTATGACAAAAGTATATGGTCATTAATGACATGCAATGGTTTTTGCATTAAAAACCCAATATGTAATGATTTCTTGATCTATTCAGGTAAATATATGTGTCCTCAATGTTGGATTGACGAACCACTGCTCGAATCGAAAGCCACTTTAATAGTTACTCCGGTGTCGCTAAAAACGCAATGGTGCAAAGAAATATGCAACCACGTAAAAGGAAACATTAAAATTTTACAATACGAAGGAGCCAGTGCCGTTTCGGTTTATCCTACTGATCTAAAAGAATATGATATAGTTTTGACGACTTACGCCGTTTTGCAGAACGAGCTGAGGTTAACTCAAAATGGACAGGTAAGACATCTTTTCGTTCTTGTTTTTTTTTTTTAACGGGTTAGTGTTAAATCCTTTTAAAACAATTAATTCGACAACGCAGCATTGCATTATAAAAATAGTATATCAGAAGCAGATAGGAGATAGGAAAAGGCTATTTTCCTCGGGGTTTCAAAATAAGCATACCATGCAAGTCGCCATGTTTGCAATTTAAGAGACCACGCACATGCGCAGTTGCTGTAGTGTTTCGACAGAAGGGTCATTTATGTCAATTCGTCTTGGTTTTTTCGAAATTCGCTATTTTAGTGAATTTAATAGAATTTTAGGAGTTTTTACTATAGACAGTTAATAAAATGGGAAAGAAGTGCTTTCTTTTTGGTTGTTTAAAGAACGAGTATTCAGAAAATATTACATTTTACAAGTAAGACATCTTTTCTGCCAGAATTATTTATCACATTTTTTAGACTATTTTTTAGAAAACGAATTATCGTAGTATAATAATAAACTGTATCTAACGTTGATATGGTTATAATTTTTTTTTTTTTTTTATGAAAAAGCGTATGCTTCTTGCTTAATAGCTATTGGAAGAAATCTATTGGACAATATAAGCGCAAATAACGCTATTTAATCCTCCCATTTTCATAAAGATGATTTAATCGTTTCAAAACGAAAAGTTACAATAAAAAATAATGTAAAAACTTTTTATAACAGTTATAAGGTAAATATCTATACATAAAATTATCAATTTGGTTCTTTTAATAATTTTTAAGAAAGTGATAAAAAATTATTACTTAATTATCCTATTTTTAGAAATGTATAACATTCAGTTTCAACGAATATTATTAATTCAGAATCTAACAGCGAATTGGAAGTTGTCAATTGGTTCCTTTTTTTATTAAGGGCTTAGGTGGCAATGAAAGAGCAAATGTGTTGGAGGCTGCTCTAAAATTGTATGAATATGGTCTAAGTAAGTATGCTAATCTAACTTAAGTGAGAGATGAGGTGTAAATCTATACAACTTAGATATTGACACTGCAACTCCATATTTCTTACATTAGCCATAGATAACAGTAAATTTTTTATAATTTTAGATGCATGTCATATACGTAAGTTGGTTTGGAATAACTGGGATATTCTTACTAAAATTGTCAACACTAATGGCGAAATTATTGATTTTAATTATATAAAATTATTGCATTATATTTAACAAACAGAAAGTTTATGTTTGAGTAACAAATTAAGAGTGGCTCATATGGATTGGAGAAAGACATAAATGAAGGTTTGTACACTTAAACGATTTTAGAAATTTTATTGGAATTACTTCAGTTCACTGTGAATTTCCCCATTTTAATTCAAAAAAATAAACTATTTAAGTATATAATTTTATTTATTTTAGGTCAGTTTAGCAGTACAAATATTAAGTAACGGTACTATTAAATGACAAACTGTTTGATTTGTTAAATTCTCGAAATACCTTTAAATTACAATGGAAAATGCCTTAGTCTCAAAAAATGGTGGCCTTATTGATTCCTAAAAAAAAGCTTCAATAAAATATATAAAGAAACTTAAAACCGTAGACAGTAGCTATGTTATTCAGACACAGAAGAAGAATATTGGTTTTCTATACTTTATTTTATCAAGTTTGTAATAGGTATATGAGAAATCAGAACCATTTTTAAACTGTCTATTAATATATAAAATAAGTACAGATCACTTAGAGCTATTTTTCTGCAGTATGAGGTATAATAGTAAAAGTTTGTGTGATTTTATTTCTAGGGCTAGGAATGAATGACAATAATCCTTTAACTGTCAAAAAATATACATTATTTTAAGCCGATGCATTATGCAAAATAAAGATGAGATGCTTTATTGTATTTGGATGTGAGAGCGCTAAAGATAGTAATTTATTTAACCACGCCGTTTCGATGGCAAACATGAGATATTGCGATCCCCACTCACTCGTATTATTCTATTTCTCTCTATTCAATGGCATTGTGTTTTTATACCGTTCTCCTGGTGTCAAGATGGAAAAGTTAATATAGTGTATGTTAGAAATGTAATTAAGTTGTTAGATATTTCAGAAAACATTGTTTTTTATGTTGCAAAAAAATTGATAAAATGTCCTACTTGCTAGGATTCTCTATCTAGCGCAATATCTAATGAAAATGATTGACAATTTTCTTTTAGGAAAAAATTGGGTAATTTAACAGTTTCTACTGTGAGTACTAGATTAGTGTGTAAAACTGTTGAATTATCTGTAAAAAAACTATTTTTAATCACAGATAATCAATTACCTGCTGAAAAATTTCATTCTCAATTAGTTTAGAATAAAAAGTGGTTTCGAAAAATCAATAATCATAATTATGACTATCTAACCTTCTAGGAAAATCACATATCAAGATTAATAAAAACTAGGATTATGTAACGCAGCCAAAATTCAGAGTTATGCAACCCAATTAGAAAAATGTTAACAAAGATGATATTGTTCAAACGTCAATGAAAATTTATAAAACTAAATTTGTATTTTTTGGTCCTTATTAACTTTTCTTAAATAGCTTTATTTATTAGTGACGTTTTCTAATATAATATAAATGTTTTAATTTTATTAACAGGACGTTAACTTATTAACTTTACTATTATAATTACACAAAGTAAAAAAGTAACGCCTTCAGCACTTGGAAAAAACAAAGCTTTGTGATTTCTTATTCTCTCACAACCTCCGTCCATGTAGGCAGATGAATTTAACGCCTTTGCAGATTCCATTAGTGACAGGAATTATCTATTTCTTGCTGATGAACAGGGATGTTGCGGATGCTGATTTTTTCACATCCGCGGGTGTGAAAGCGGATGCGGATTTTTGAAGGCTCACATCCGCGGATGCGGACGCGGATGTTTAAGATCCTATATAAAAATAGAATACGAAAACGAATGAAGAATTAAAATAATGATAAAGTATTTATTAACATTTTTATTAATGAAAATTAGTATTATGTTATGTATGTAATGTATGTATTCTATGTATAATGCTCATATTTTTTTTAACTTCACTTACTAATTTTCATATTAGTAAGTGAAGTCAAAAATAGGAACATTGTCCTTAATAAAGAGTAATATTGCCACCTTTTCTGATTCAAGGCGGTTACGCAGAGGTTCGTAAATTAAACCCGCACTACTAAATAATTGTTCGCTATATAGGAACACTGCCTGGTGGAGGATAAAAATCTTCGTGCTATCGGTGATAATATCTTGAATTCCTCTCGATGAACACTCCGCCATTTAAGAGGATTTTCATCAGCATTGACTCTTTTTTTAGTGCGGTAAGAAAGTAATTCCTTTTTAAGTACAGCTTCAGGGCTACCATTTTCTGGTATTTCTTGACTCTCATCTTCAATTGACGAATCTAACATCGTAGCAAGGTCGTTTTTTAAGCTTGGCTTTCTGACAAAACTTGATGGTCCTGTTCCTAGTTGTTTCATTTTCTTTTCCGTGGGATCAGTCATTCTCAGGAAACGCGTCGTGCGAACGGCACGCGTCATTCGCCGGCTCCACTCAATTTCTTTCTTGTCGCAACTAGCCATTTGTATTACATTCGCATCCGGATGAACATCCGTATTGATTATTGCGGATGCGGATGCAGATGCGGATGTTCAAATCTATGCGGAAACTCCGCATTTGCGGATGCGGATGCGAATATTCGCAACATCCCTGCTGATGAAACCTAATAAGGACGAAACCAGTCCAAGAATATCGTTCTCCTTAGTAAGCAAAATCAAACTTTGAATGTTGAAATTAAATTTTTATCTTTGCTATTTTTTCTTGGGATATAATTCAATGTCTGTTGCGGAATTAGCCAAAGGAGTAGCCGAAGGGAAACGGTCGCTTATTTTATTTTGAAATACATGGCTTAGAGAATTTCTTGTTTTCATTTATTTTACGTTTTGGTCATATTTAAGTTTGTAATTATTTTCCTTTTTTAATAAAATTGTCTAGACGTTTCTGGCGATAGTTTTAAATTTACTAAAGGATATGTCCATAATCTCTAAATTATTTTGATTAATGATTCTTGATGTACGCTCAAGTGCATGCTATAGTACTGTGGAACGATATTTTAAATAAATTCTAATTCCTTAAATTTATAGTAAAATAAAATACTCTCAATATCTGAGCTATCGATATACCCATGTAATAATTTACTTACAAATTATATATATACATATATATATATATATATATATATATATATATTTATTTTTTTTTAATATGAAAATTCTGTTTAAATCACGTGTAATTGAAGTTTGCTGTATTCATGTCATATGAAATGGTATTTTATCTTTTTTTATGTTTTTACTTAATTTTAAATAAAGTTTGAAACAAGACTGAAGTTTTTTATTTTTATAAATCTCTTAAAATCCATAAAAAAATAAGAAAATTATATTACGAATTTTTAACGTTATTAATTCTATTGTAATTAAATCCTTAATATTTTCTAATTATGTTTAAATTTGTCAGTCCTATCCTGTATAGCAGGGGCAGAACTTGGAAATGCTTTTGGTAGATGGAGAGGGAATAAACGTCAAACCACGTCGGATGACTTCGAGAATTTTACTGTAATATTTATCTGCCAGTGCCGTTTCATAGATTAAGTAATTTTAAATTGTTAGCGGTGGGACTGGGCAATCGCATGTATTTATAGACTAGAAATATTTATTAAATTATTCACCAGAAATTGTTATTACCATCTATAAAATAAGTTTGTACGCCAATGTATCGCGTCCATTTCGGTTAGCTCCGCCGCAAAACTGTCAATTTCTGTGTATGAAGTGGTAGAACTGCAAAAAGCCTTTCCAACTTCTGTCCCTGCTGTACACTTCTATACGCAATCAAAGCGCAAGCGTGAGTCTCTTCTTTTTAAAAGATCGCCGCCTTCAATTCTAGGTGCCTGATGAAAGTGACATTTCCTATTTCCTCTAATCCATATCTGTGCAGTGACCCTATCAAGACAGTGTTGACACTATTGAGGCAAAATTAAATATTGGTGTGAAAGATTATTTACATAAGAAATTATACTGTTAGAAGTAGAGTCTCGGAAATACTCCCAAGTCCATTCGCTTTCTTTATTTTTTAAATGTAAAATGGATGAAATAAAAAGTTACAAGATTTTTTCACGTAAATTAGGTACATCATGTTAATGTCAGGTGGCAGTTATCAAAATAATTTTGAATTTGTCATTTTTTTAAAAATTTGTATATATTTTGATATTTCAAAAGTTTTTACAAGTATTAATCAATCTTCGTTTGGTAATTTAAACTTCGTTTAACACAACGGTGGAATCGGCCCTTAGAGACACAAATCTATTTGCGAGGCTCTTGGCTGCAGATGCATTACATATTTTACAGAAAACTATCTATATACTTAGTAAACCAACAAATTCTGATAGAGAGTATGTGAAGATAATATCTAAAAAAGTAAGCCAAAGTAAAACAAAAGTCAATTTTTTAATATTAAGTAAGTTGAGGCAAGTTATATATAAGATGTACGAACGTGCGCAACATGTAACAATGAAATCGTTACGTAAACGATTTTCGGAAGAAATGCCTGATGTGAAATGTTCTGCACGGTCAATTAATACATGTATTCGAAAAATTGGCTTTCGCTTTAAAAGAAGTAATAACAGACATTTTTTATTGGAACGAACATCGATTCAGTTAAAAAAATGTAGTTTTTGAAAAATTTTAACAAGGAGATAGAGCTGGATAACTTAACTGCAAGTAAAGAAACAGGAGATGGAATTCGATATATAATTATCAATGATGGCAATGAAGAAGGGGTTATAAAAAATGCAGACCTTATATTTAAAAGTCAGACAAAAAGTGGGGATTACCATAATAATATGAACACAGAAAAATTTGAAAAATGGTTTAAGATAAAATTTATACCTAGTCTGGAACATCCTTCTTTAATTATAATCGATAATGCCAGTTATCATTCGCGGTACGTGGAACCAATTTCATGTTATAGTTGAACAAAATATAAAATGGTAAAATGGTTGCAAAATAAAAACATCAATGGTATGAAATATCAGATTTGGGAAGTTGTACGTAAAAAACTACCACAAAAAGAATTCCACCTAGATAGATATGTTGAGGAATATGAGCATAAAATATTAAGAACTCCATATCACTGCCAGTACAATGTGATAGAGATGGTGTGGTCACTAGTGTCGGCTTGTGAGCTGCGAAGGTGGGGGGGGGGGGGGGGCGCCAATTGGCTTGAGGGTGGGGATTATGGAAAATTTGTTATTTATGTATTTTGTATTTTTTCATTAACATAGAAAAAAGACCACACTGCGCCTTGTCAATAGTCAATAATCAAAATGAAATATATTTCTTATAGTAAAACATCTTAAAAAATAATTATTCTAAAAACAAACATGAAAATTGACATATTTATATTGTTTTTAATTTTTGTTTTTACGAAAGTTCATGGCTCAGATCCTGAAATTGAAATCTGCTGTACGATCCCTCACTGCAGTAGTTTTCCATGACTTTCGTCAAAATTATTTATCTCCAGAACTAAATTTCTCTTTCCATTAATTACGTGAGGTATTTTTGAGGATTTTTTGACCCCCTCTCCCCCCTGGTGAGATTTCGTAAGATTTTCCTCAACTCCCTCCCCCCTCCCCTAATCTCTCGTGAGATTTTTCAAAATTTGTGTTTTGGGTGTAAATGCGTTGGATTATTAAAAAAACAAACACAATATGTTTTATTACTTTTATTTAAGACTAAAAATTTCTAGAAACATTCTTTACTTTAATTTTCACGCAATTTTACACCGTTTTCTACTAAAAAAAATACGTTAGATTTACAAAGACCCCCCTCTCCCCCAAGTGAGATTTGGAAAGATTTAGCTTGATCCCCTCCTCCCCTTGAACACCTCACGTAATTAATGGACGCCCCCTTATTGATATCATAGCTAAGGCGTTAGTCGCGAAGCTTTGGCCGAAATATACATCAACAATGTGGTCACCTTAAGATGGATCAAAGGTCACGCCACATCGAAAGGTAACCGTCTTGCTGATTCACTAGCCAAGAAAGCAGCTAACCAAATACTTTTTGGACCTGGCTCTCCTATTGGCCTGACAAAATCGGTAGTGACAGACCTAATTAAAGAACGTTCCTAAGGAGCACTTAAGTTATCCTGACAACACTGCAGCAAACAAATACTTGACTATGACTAGACAGAATCTGCGCCTAGTCACAGGCATTCTGACTGGTCATTGCCAAGTACGGAAGCATCTCCATATCAGGGCTGTCAGAATCCGCACTCTGCAGAGGGTGCGAACAAGATGAGACCATCGAGCATATCCTTTACGATTGCTCGACGCTCTCATTAGAAGATTTGTGTTCGGCAAGTATCGGCTAACACCGGCCGATATAAGAGAAGCACCTCTTGGCGACGTTGTCAACTACATTAAATCTAATGAGGCCGAAGTGCCGTGGGGGTAACCCACCCTCCACACTCTCCACACGTTATAGATACATAGATAAGGCGTTTAGTCAATCATTTAGCATGGTGCTTCTTAAAAATTCCTCGAAAACTATAAAACAACTTTAAAAAAGAAAAACAGCCGCCTGACACCTCATCATCTAAATTCAATATGCTGGTCCGCCGCGAAAAAATTGCGCCCTGTTCTGCACTAAAACTGCCGACTGCAAGACGTACTCGATAGCGCTTGTCATACGTTTCCATGGAGACGCGGACCTCAGTCTTATTGCGGCCGGCTATAGTTCAGTCAAAGAGCTCATAAATTGTTATTATAGGAAGGATTTGGAGGGGACATAATAAATAACATAGCATTTGTTGAGACGATAGGAAAAATTATAAAATAAATAAATAATATTTTTAGTTAGTATTTTAGTCTCTGGGATTTTTGAGGGGAATGCGGCCATGCTGCCTTAAAGAGTAGCCGCAGCTGGTGGTCATAGTGCAAACGGTTTTATGACGAAAAAATACAAGCAATTACATGTTTCTAATATAGAACCAATTATTATTAATTTAGGTACAACGGCAAATAGTGATGAGTCTGAATCAAAATGCAGTTGTGAATAAAATGAAATTGAGTAAAAAAATTTATATGATTTATCCAATAAATATTTTCTGTGCCTCTTATATTTTTTTAACAAAGTATCTGTTTTACGAGTTTGCACCTGTTTTAGATTATCTTTAGCTCTAAAATCGCTAAAAACCAATGTTCAGCTGGGACTTTTATTTATAAAGTACGAAAGTAAATTCTTCTAGTATTTGTAGACAAAATGTAAAACGTAATCTTAATTTTTTCAAAGTGATTTCTTGTATTCGTGCAAACGCACCTTAATAAAGTTTACGCTTCTAAGCAACAACAAAGCGCAACTGAAATAAGACACGTGCAAACTGTAACTAAAAATGCCATACTCTGTTGTCAGAGGACTTGGGGTATTTCTGTCACTTTAGTCTCTCACCCGATATTTGTTTTTGTATTGTCACATTGACTTAATAAGAAAATAAAAAAATATTTATCAGAAGTCAATTTGGTGAATCATTTTTATTAAGATTAAAGAAAAATTATCCATCAACTCCTTACAAATACAATACATAGATACTTGATTTTAAATTGGTTTTCAAAACTCAGTCTTTATAAAAAGTGAAATAAATAAGAATCAGATCTTTAGATTTTGTTTTATAAAATTGAGTACATACATGATTTCCAGACGAAATTATGAGCCAAAAATAAAATATATTTTGCTTTTGAAAACTTTTATTTTATTGTGGCATTTAAATAATATATTGTTATCTTAGAAGTGTCATCTGACTTAATTACTTGACATTTATTTTCTATTTTTTAAAATTTCTTTAAAAAATATTTTTTGAAAGTATTTATTTTAGGTTGCCTTGCTATTATGAAAGTTTGGTATAATATAATAAAAACGAAATATGTATTGTTTTTACAAAATATAGCAACGGATTTGCTGAAATGTTTTTGGGTGTAGCCTTCCTACTTTTTTTTTTTATTTTTAATCTAAATATTAATCTTTAAATTTTCCAAAAATGTTTTGCACCCTATTGTCGCCACTGTCTCGAGGAATTCATTAACTGTTTCCACTTGTTTATATGTGCTTGTAAACAGTCTTTTGTACATTTTGTTTTATATTGTGCTTTATAGAAGGATTTTTGTTTGTTTTAAGCCGCTTAACTTAAGAAAAGAACGGAAATACTCCGCACCTGGTAGTCCTTTGACTAGGTTGAATTGGTGGAGATTATGTCTCGATGAAGCTCAAGCTGTTGAAATGCCAGGTCGACTGGTATCGGAAATGGCAAGAAAAATCACTGCGGTACACAGATGGGCGGTAACGGGAACACCTATTTCCAAAAATATATCAGGTGATTATAAAGTCTTTAGGGGTAGGAATGCTCGAAATATTTCATAACTTGTTTTGGGAAAGTGAGGAGAGAATAATAATAAGTTAATAAACAGTAACACGTTTATTTAAAAAAATCTACATAGTTTAATAATTTCAAGATAAATGAAAACACTTTTTATATAGGGAATAAGCAAACTTGCTATGACTTAGGCACTATTTGATAATAGGTCTAAACTTTTCTTAATAATAACAAAACGATAATTGGATATGTTCTCGTACGATACAGATTCGAAAATAAAGTGAACTTCCCACGGGAGTATAAGATAAACAATATTATGTGGCTTCGGAACATATGGTCCCGAAGGCACGGTCACGGCTAGAGTGGCCTTTCGGCCAGAGTTTCTGGCAAAGCCTCTGCTCAAGCCACTCTTTTTATCGACTATCGATTCTCTATTTAAATCAAAATTTACGTGACAGTTCCTTATTATTTTAAAAAATATTAACATTTATTGCTGTTGGAAAATAACTACCATTATGCGCTAGTTCAGTGTAATGTCATTTTGGTTCCACTGACATTTAATTCTAACCAAACTTTTAACAAAAACATTCATAAATTTGACATATACGTTTTTACTGTGTTTAGTTTATTTCTAAATATTGTTAACAAGTCATAAAAAATAGTTTAAAGGTATGTAATTGGCAACTAAGCGATTGTATATTTAATGCATGCTATCTACTTACTTTAGGAATATGTTTATATTAAGTGAAAGAACGATATAATTTAGGTAAACAAAACGAACAAAATGCACTCAAAAAATCTACTGTCACTTTAATTGTTAGTGGAACCACAATTACATCATCACTGAACTAGCGCATTCTACGCCAGAATACATCAAATTATTTTACTCCTCTTTCTCCTACGCCACTAGACACCGAATTTAAATATATTTGTTCCCCTCACCCCTTATTATACAATTAACTGCTAAACCCACATACTTTGATTACTATACGGGGCAAGAGAGAGGCCCGACACGCTCAACATAGGGCGCGGCCATTTTGATTCCTATGACACAGTTTACAGATAAAGAATCAGATCGCTCACTCTGCGTCGGCACTTTTGATCTCAATGTTCCAGTTTATACACTGCGCAACTCGGATAATACAATATATGACAACCGCCTATAATAAAACAGCAGTCTTCTGCGTATCCTGAATTTGTATCCCTGGAGTGCATGTTATTTTGGAACTTTCAACTGGTCCGAGTGAGCTAACTGATTCTTTAGCAATAAACTGTGACTCTAAAAATAATATTCACTGACACTGACAGCAGCAAGCAAAATATCAGGTGTGTTTTAATCATCCGCTTCTGCTTCCGGAATTGTCGGTTTAGTCGTTTTAACCTGTCAGATTAAAACAAGAAAACCGACAATTCCGAAGCAGAAGCGGGTGATTAAAACGCACCTATTAAAAATATTGCGTCAAGATGTAGGCAACACGTAATAAAGGTTCAAAATGGCGGAGTTTTCTATTTTCTTTTAAAAGGCACTCAAAAAGCTGCGCAGTGCGACCATTCTCCGAAAATCAAAGTATGTGGCTAAACCGCATCTAACATTATGCAACCAACATCACATTTATGTCTGATTGGTTGTTCATGACGTGACTCCAACCAACCCTAGTAGTTCGCTCTTATTTCTACCACCCCTCAGGAACTGTGCAATCTCATGTATTGTTTTAAAACAGAAGACAGAAGCAATCTTGACTTAAGACGAGAAGGGTGTGCTCGTGATAATATGTGAGTTTCCCGCACTTTGTGGGCGTTGACCAGCCGGCGTTTCATATTTCTCAGTATAAGTAAATTAAAAGTAATTATCTCAGAGTGTTATTAAGGAAAGCAGTTAGAAAAGCAAGCAGCCTTATACTTGACTTATTCCAGCATTGTTTGTGCCTGTATTTTCATATCAACAACTTGTTAGTTTTGTTGTATGCAGAATAATATTGCAATAAACTCTTAAATGTGGTGCGGCAGTTTGAATACCCAAACCAGTAAAATCTATTCATACAGTCCATTAAAAAATACACAAATATAGGGAGAAATCAGCAAAATTACCCCATATTTGCGCAATTGCCTTTGAATAACTGTTTGGAAATGTCTCTTTCATAGAAACATTCAAGATAGATCCTCTCGGTTGCTTGATTTGACCAATCACTTCTCTTTGTACCCTGTATTCGTCTCTTCTACATATTTATTAAAATCACAATCAAAGAATACTACACCTATAGGAACATGGGATTAAAATTATTGTTCAAAATTTTTAAATTAAATAGTTACTTTCTCTGATTCTCTTATTCAATTTATTTTTGTTGTCACAAGTTTTTATAAGACAGAAAGCAAAACTCAACAAGTTAATATTTAATGGAAAATGCAATCCTATTTTTCCGAATTTATCATTTATTTTACCAGATTCATTGTTTTTTCTAAATTATTTTGTTACTTCTTTCTTGAATTATGTGCATCGCGGGTTTTTTTAAATACATAATCATAGAAAGGGTTGAAGTTAACATTAAACTGTACAAAATACATTTTTAGCAACATTTTAGCTATTTGTTCCACAATATTTTTCACAACGTATTCTTTGTAATCTCCCCATTATTTTTTCTTCATACTAACACGTTAAAAGCCAAAGCGGTCCCTAGAGACCGATCGAGAAAAAGTTTATTGTATACCGAGCGTACATTTAATGCTGTATAGGTGGACCCTTATACAACCCGCTGTAGCACCGTAGAAACTTATCACTGGCAATTTTCTGATACCTATAAAAATTAATTCTCAGTGTGTATATAATATTTTTAAAACCTACTGTTTATTTATTTTTGCTTTATAAAACATATAAATAATATAAATTCATATATATGAACAAAATTGCCTAGTCCATGTTAGAAAAGATTAAAATAATTGCTAAAACATTTTTGTAAGTTCCATTTGTGAAATTTGGCAAAAAATTCGAAACAAAAATGGGGATTCCCCTCACATATGTCACAGCACAGTATGTAGTAACATTCTTCACCTTGTTTTTATAGTACAGTCATTTGGTAGTTTGGCCTGGAAAGTATTTGAAAATGGATAATTTTATAGATTTCGAAGTGCTCTTTCCGAATTTCATTTTGCCACCTCTTATCTTTGCCGCTCGCTCCGGCATATTGCCTAAAAGCAGTTTTTCCGACTCATTTCACGATGTAAACATTTATATAGAATATAATTTTATTAACTGTCACTACAATAAATGGTTAACAGCAGGTCACAACAGAATATAAATTAATACTAACTTACTAAGGGGTGGGTGGCTCAGTGGTAGAGTCTCTGCCTGTGGATTCAAGGGTTCCAGGTTCGAATCCCACCGTTGGCCGGAATTTTTTTATTTAATTTAATTATTTAAAATTAATTCTGATACCTTGGTAAGATTCCCCACTCGAACATTCACTGTTGGGTTCTAATTAACAGTGCTGTTCCTAAAGTGGTGCTGGGAAACAGTAACAAAGCCTACACAGAACACGAGGCTAATGGCCTTAGTAGTCGATGCAGATGACACCAAATTAAAAAAAAAATACTAACTTACTAATGCAGCATACATTCACCTCACACAAACACCAACACACTCATAAAAAAACAAAAACATACATACATTTAAAACTAATACTAGTTACTGAACCTAAATTACATTAGTTTAGTAACTGGATGAGTGTTCATCAAGCACAATGGGCAAACCACTCTTAATATATTCCTGGAATTCTAAAACCGAATGAAATGCAATTCTTTGAAAGAAGTTTTTCAAAGTATTTTAGTAATTTAGATGACTTAAGGTTATGTTCTGATTTTGATAATCTGTATCTTGGACCTCTAACATAAGTATCAATTCGTGTGTCATGTCAATAAAAATTAAATTTAACCGATTCATATGGATCATTTGTGTTTTGTGTTGTAAATAACATTTTTTGTGATTTTTATCTATTCTCTATTCATCAAAATTTATGTCTGAACATTGTAGAGCAGCATCATCGGCAGAAAGCACACAGTTATATGGATTCATGTACTGTGCAAAATAATTTATATATATTACAAATAAAAGTGGTCCCAAAACCGATCCCTGTGGGACACAAAATGAAACTAGAGAACATTTCCTACAATTTATATAATAACTTTTTATCGTAAAATTAATAGTTTGGGCGTACGAACGCTGCAAAGTGTAGTTCAACACACGTTTTGGCCAAAAAACTAATTACCATACCATCTTGAGGTAGAGTAAGAGGCGCGTTTTCACTATTCGAGAATTTAGCGCATTCACCTTCGCTTCGCTGTTGTTGATGGACCAGGTGTTGCGAGTTTATTGTCCTTAGTACCGATCAAAACCAAACAGGCCGAAATTTCTTCCACATCATCCGTGATGAGATTAACAGTTTCACCGCAACATCTTCGTTCTCGATTTGATCATACAGGAATTAGCTCGTTCTTGTTTCTTTTCCATTCCCATTACTCTGCATTTTGTTCATTTCCATACCACTGCTTTACCTGATGATAGAACGAATGTTGTCGTGCTGCTGTTTCTGTTGGTGGTAGCGACGCAATATAATTTACTTATATATGCTGATATTTTGAAGCATGCATCCTATCGCGGATGATGTAGAAGAAATTTCGGTGTCTGACGTTTCGATCGGTACTAAAGACAATAAACTCGCAACACCTGGTCCGTCAAGTACAACGAAGCGAAGTAGAATGCGCTAAATTTTGGAAAAGCGAATTTCATGTGGATTAGGCATACTGGGGATACCAAGATAAAAAAAATGCGCCACTTACTCTACCTCAAGGTGGTGTGGAAATAAGTTTTTTTGTCAAAACGCGTGTTGAAATACACTTTGCGGCGCTCGTACGCCAAAACTATTGATTTTACATAAATTGTAAGAAATAGTGCTAAATAAAATAGTGCATATCAAAAGAGCGCCTGAACGAAATAGCGCTCATTAAAGCAGCGCCAGTAAAAAAAGTGCCTGGGGCCATCACGGGATGCTCCGCAATTTTTTTTTACATAAAATAAAAAAACTAATTTATCTGACCTGTGTGGCCTGAAGCCATCGCGGGTTGCTTCGCATTTTTTTTTACACCAAATTATAAAAACTTAACTAATTTACCTAATCTGTCCGGCCAAGAGTCATCACGAGTTGCTTCGCAAAAAAATATGCATAAAATGGGGGAATTGAAAAACAACTTAACTAATTTACCTAACCTGTGCTGCCAAGAGCTACCGCAGTTTGCCTTATAAAAAAAATATACGTAAAATGAGAGAAATTAAAAACACCACTTAACTGATTTACCTAACCTGTGTGTCCTACAGCAATCGAGAGTTGCTTTGCAAAATAAAATTATACAAAAAATGAGAATAATTAAAAAAAAATTAATTTACCTAATCTGTGCGGCCTGGAGTCATTTAAATTTAATCAATCGCTCACGCACAGATTACGTAAGTTGGTTAAATTTTTTATCATTTTTAGTATATTTTTTTGCGAATCAACCCGCGACAACTCCAGGCCGCACAGGTTAGGTAAAGTGGTATTTTTTCCCATTTTATGTATATTTGGTTTTTCGATCAATTTCTTTTTCTATAAAATCTATTTTCGATCAATTGTTATTCAATATATTGTTTTTTCGATCAATTTTGTGCCACCCGTTTTTGGCGTGAAAATGAGTTGGAAAGGAGATATTGTCAAAAAACTGCTTTCAGGCGCCATTTTTTCAATATGATGGCGTGAACGTCTAAGATACTAGGTGGCAAAGTTGAAATTCGGAAAGCATACATCGAAATCTATAAAATTCCCCATTTTCAAAACTCCCGGTAAACTTTCCAAATAACCCCATTTTTTGCCGAAGAGGCTAGCCGCGAGAGTAGTGTGCATCTACAGTTAAGCAGTGATATATTCAGTCACTTCGTGGATAATTGACAGCGGGGAAGTTCCACCATAAGCCGTGTCACCATGGGACTTAGCTGACTAGCGTTTAACCACCGACAACGTGGAATGAATGACGATGAATGAGAGAGTAAATTGGGGAATGAGAAAGTAGTAGTGATAGAATAAGCTGCAGGCAGCAGTGCTGCCAGGCTACAGTGCTGCTAAGCTACTGACGGATTAGGGTGTAGCACAGGAAGTCTGAAGAGTGTAAAAACACCTCTTCTTTTAGAACCAAATGACTACTATTATCTAATACGTTCTTCAGTTTTCTGTCATAACAGCCCTTACACTAACGTCTAAATTCCCTCTTTTTTTTAGAACATACATTTCGTGTGGTTTTTCAAATCTTAACTTCGGCAATTGCAAATCTAGTAATGCAACAAGAGGCGGCGACTAATGCAACGGCGGCCCCTAGGGATCGCTACAAAGAAATGTAAAATAAAAATCGGAAAAAAAAACACTTTTAATATTTATAGGTCAAAAGTACTGAATTTTTCACTTTGGCGTGGTAGACATTTCTTAGGAATTTCCGCGGCGTTTAACGTGTTAAAAGACCAATCCATCAATAACCTTACCACATCTTCAACTGTCTATTCCGTTTTCTAATCAAACTTTCGTTGTTTACAAAATGCATTAAATTGGTTCCAAATGGCTGATTTAGAGTTTCATTTGGATTTTCAGAATTATAATTTTCAATTCAAATACTGAAGAATTATTTCCCTTTTAAATATAAAACCTATAAGTACTACAAGTTTCAAACTGACACGACACAACACATAAATAAGTGACAAATGCAAATCGTCACTATGGTAACGTAAATTTGTTTCTTCCTATTTACGACAGCAAGCTACGATTTATGTGTTAGCAAATAATGTTTTTTTTTTTACATAAAAAATCTTTTATTGGCATATTTCCCAATAATGAATTCTTTTCTAAAATGAATGTTGTTATAACTTTATTGTTAAAGAATATTTTTTTAATGAAATTTTTCGTGTTTCCATTTAAAAGGTTTATAAATACGGTGGTGTAGAAATTAAATACAGACTAATAAACTGTAGCCGTTTTTGACATGGTATATTTTTTAAGTGATTGAAATATTTGTGTTATACAGATCTCTACGGGTTGATTGATTATTTACAAATATCTCCATATAACGATGACATAACTTGGAAAAAGATCCTTTATGAACCCTACTTGAATGGTAATGAGAAACCATTGTTGGATTTTTTGTTTGACGTCTTATGGAGGACTGCTAAAAAAGATGTGACAGATCAAGTAAGATTTTTATTTTGTATATAAAAGTCGTCCAATATTGAAATAATGAATGTATTCCATATATTTGCATCATACTATATTACTATACCTAATTTTGTAGATAAATATACCGAAGCAAACGTACTTAGAACACACGCTTGAATTTTCCGCTGTCGAAAAATATTTTTACAAGCGCGAACATGAATTGATCTCCAATAATTTTCTTAGTAAAGTTCGCAAATTCGATTTGTCACTGCACTTGGAAAACTTGGATAAAAGTACTTTAAAAAAGGTAATATATAATATTTATTAAAAAAAAGAGATACATAGGTTTTTTACTTTTTTAAAGCTGCTGGCTCCATTATTGACCTTAAGGCACACCTGCACCCATCCCAACACGGTCAGAGGCAGATATTTGGCGACAAAAAAACAAGTGACGTCTATGAAAGAATTGCTTAGCGCCCTAATTTTGAAAAATACGAACGATAGCGAAGATTGTCTTAGATTGATAATATCGTCTTTGAACGGCAAGTTTTCAATTTTACCATTTCTTTTCATTTTGTTATTTTAATATGTACCTACATCTTCTTCAGTAACATCCTGTATTTTAATAACATAACATACTGTATTTCAATAACAATATCCATGTATTTTAATAACATAACATTCTGTATTTCAATAACATTCTTTATTTCAATTGCATCACATCCTGTATTTTACTAACATCCTGAATTTCAATAATATCCCGTATTTCATTAACATCCCGTATTTCATTAACATCCCGTATTTCAATGACGTTCCCTATTTTAATAACAACCTGTTTTTAATTAACATCCTGTATTTCAATGAACTCCTGTATTTTAATGCAATCCTGTATTTTAATTACATCCTGTACTTCAATAATATCCTGTATTTCGATAACATCCTGTATTTCGATAACATCCCGTATTTCGATAACATCCTGTTTTTAAATACCATCCCTGTATTTCCATAACTTATCATTTATTTCAATAACATAACTTGCTGTATTTCAGTAACATATCATTCTGTATTTCAATAACGTACCATCCTGTATTTCATATTTATAATTCGTTTTGTGTGTTTCTATTTTCAATTCGATTCGCTTTTAGGTATGGCTGGTATTTATTTACTTCTCGATAATCCCCAAGAGGCGATCAATCGCTACAGAGAAGTTTTACAATTGGCGACGAGATTTTCTGGAGAAAGAGACGAATCAAAATTAAATATCGATAAACCGCAAGTGATACACACAATGTACAATTTGGCGGAAGTACTGGATACTCATACTCCAGATCAACCGACATTAAGAGATGCAAATTTGAGGAGTGATCGTGATGATCTTGAGAAGAAGTACATGGAAAAGTTTATTGTTGAGGTAAGGTTTTTTAGCAAAATGTTCTTATTTGTACATACAAGATGACAGATCTACTTTTAACAGTTTTAACGTGCACAATAATGTCAATATGGTACAAGTGGAATAAACCACTGTTTTCCTCGAAATAGAATAAAAACTAAAAACATTTTGAGCTTTTTTATATACCAAATTATCCAATTTATTTTTATGTTACATGAATAGGTACATGCGTTTGTGCTGGGGTAAAGAAAGTGTACATGTGAAAATTATATCTGAAATTGCATTGTGACTGCACTGTGACTGCACTCATCTCAAAACTGGATGCTGTAAATTCAGGATTTAAATCTTTGATAGAGTTGCTTCTGATAAATTGTGAAAAAGGTGTTGGACAAAACGTTTACAACCTAAAATTGCATGGACAACATCCAAGAAAAAGGAATTTTACCTTTATGACATTCTCTTACTAAAAGAAATTCTTTAATTGTGAATGCAAATAAAACTGTACAGAATTACTACGGACTTTCTCATACAAGTAAATGATGATTTTATTCCTTTGTAAAATTAGACTAAATTTCTTGGAATCTTTCTTGACAGCAACATTAGCTGGTAATTACATATTGATTTTTTGCGTAAAAAATAAATAGTGCTTATTATGCCATCCTGTAATTAAAGTATTTTGGCTACAAGTCAGATTCTCAATGTATACTATGCATTGGTATATTCTCAAATCTCATTTAATGTACTAATATGGGGAGGAGCTGTTGAGGTTTCACGTGTTTTTATTTTACAAAAAAGAGTAACTACTTGTAGAGATCACTTTAAAAAATATAAATTACTTACTTTTCCTTCAATTTTTATATTTAAAACTCCTATGTACATGAAACAAAATATTTCACAATTTCCACGTAACTTAGAGACCCACCAGCTTTATATGAAAGAAATCTACAATACATCGGTGTACGCCTATTCAATCATCTCCCTCTCCCAATTAAAAACATAGTGACTCATAGCTTATTTATCGGGCACGGTGGTGTAGCGGTCTATCGCGCTTATATTCATTTATAGGCAAGTTTATGAGTCTGAGACTGCTGGGTTTCGAATCCCAGACCAGACCATGTGGATTTTTAATTAAATTGCATGGTTTGGTTTAGGATTTGATGTATGGCGTATTAATAGAAATTCAATTTCTGTTGATATGACATGCAGATTAAAAAAATTCGCCATACATTACCGTCTCGATGATGGTGGGTGAGGTTTTCCGGGTTTTCCTCACCTGTAAGTCAAATGGCACCATCAATCATCTTTAAGTCGCCCCGGAGCGCCACGGCAAATAATAATAATAGCCGTTCCTTTCCCCGGACAAGCTCAGCTTTTGGGGTTAAAATTCACTCGTAAGGGGGTGAATTAGGGAGAGTATTATTATTATTATTATTATTATTATTATTTAAAATCAAACTGAGACAGTACCTAATAGAAAAATGTCCATATAGCGTTGAAGAATTTTTCGTGTAATTAATGTTTTCAATGTCCCATTACACTTTTTTTTGTTCATACTTTTTATTTCAATTTAAGATAAGTATTCTTAGCTAACTGTATTTACTTTTTTTTATTCTTTTATTTTTATGGGTTTGACTTTTAATTTGTATGTTCTTGTATTTTTCTTGTATTTATTGTTATTATTATATATTGTGACATTTCCTATATCATGTAAATGATCTTTCAGGATAAATATACTATCATTAGTCGTACTTTTTTATTTTAATTTTTTTTTTTTCAAAAAAAGCTTTTATCGGTAACCCAGATCGCGAAATCTAAAGTTGGGTACTTAAGGGGGCGTCCATCAATTACGTGAGGTATTTTTGACCCCCCCCCCTCCCCCTGGTGAGATTTTGTAAGATTTTCCTCAACTCCCTCCCCCATCCCCTAATCTCATGTGAGATTTTTCAAAATTGGTGTTTTGGGTGTAAATGCGTTGGATTATTAAAAAAAAAAAAAAAAAAACATTATGTTCTATAACTTTTATTTAAGGTAGTTCACTCGTAAAACGGCTTTTCTTAAGAATTCAATAAAATTGAAATATAAGGTTAATGAAAGTGTCTTTTATGTAAATAAAAAAAAATTAAATTTTTTGACCATCTGTGAAACGAGATATTAACAATCAAAATGTGCATAATTAACACTCTTGAAGCCTCTCATGTACACAAGTAATGCATTTATTTCCAGAAATCTCGAAAACTGTTCTTACCATATTTTTTAAAAACTAATGTAATGTAAATCAAGAAGTTATAAAATTTTCTAAAGAAACGCTGAATTTTTTGACCTTCTTAGTAAAAAGATATAGATTTTTAAAATAAAAATATTTTTAAAACAATCTACGCGTAGTTTCGTAAAATTATTACAACTTGGCAACGTTGTGTACGCTGCAATCAACGCGTTGTACCAAACTAACACTCGATCAGCTAAGAGGATGTTTAACCTCGCGACGTTTCCTTGAAAAATTAATTCGTCCACTGTATTTGAGAACTGGAATCAGCGGTTCTGTTTGAACCAAAACAAACCCTTAAAATTAATATGAGGAAGTCACAAATTTCTATAGCAAACCATTCATGTATTTATGAGGTTGCCGGATGGATTTTATTAAAATCCATATATATAAGCTTACATGTGTTTTGTACAGTCTCTTACAAAAATAAAATTGATTAGCATTGAGAATCTCGAACTATTGGTATTCACCATTAAGCGATATTTTTATGTACGACTGTCGCGAGTGAACTACCTTAAGACTAACAAAGTCTAGTATTTGAGAATATTGCCGTAATATAAAATTTCTAGAAACATTCTTTACTTTAATTTAACTTTACTTTCACGCAATTTTACACCCTTTTCTACTAGAAAAAAATTACGTCAGATGTACAAAGACCCCCCCTCGCCCCCCAAGTGAGATTTGGAAAGATTTAGCTTGATCCCCTCTCCCCCTTGAACACCTCGCGTAATTAATGGACGCCCCCTAACGACCTGAGCCATGAACGTTTATGTCAAGTTAATTATCTAATCAAATATGTTAGCATTTTCTACAATGGCTCTCAAATCAGAACAATAAAACTTCTCATAAAATTTAAAAAAATAACGCAAAATAAAATGCATTTTATTAGTGTACAAGTGTATAATATTCTCCACGTCGAAACTCAATAAAATCTTAATAATATGATGAATAAATGATTGAATAGATATGGGTATATCAAAAATAAGTGATAAATACTTTTCATTTTTTTTTCTACTTTTAAAATTTTTTTCTAATATTCTCAATTTCTGAATAAATGTTTTACCCATTAAACCTGTTAAAATCAGAACGTTTGCCACTGGCAAAGTTTATTTAAATTTAACTGATTTTTCTGCTGTTTCGGGTGTATCTTATGATCCGATTACAATAAGAAGAACACCGCTACGTCATAACCATTACTTTTAATTTCGAATAAATAGTACTATAACTATCAATAAATAAATAATAAGTAAATTGTTAGGTATAAAAAATAGTTCCTATATTCATATAATATTAACCCTCAGTAGGCGGCGGTAGCCAATTAATTACTTTGTCAAATTATGACGTACCTAGCTGTGTTCTTCTTATTGTAATCGGACCCTACGAAATACATTTGCCGATTTTAGTAAAGTTATATTGAATAATAAAATTATAGGTACCTACCGTTTTTTAATTTTTCAATGTTCAACTTATATATTAACATCCTGTATTTCTGAACATTTTATCTAAGCTTGTTTTTTCGTTTATTCACCTCATTTTGAACCAGAGAATCTTCGGTTCTTCGGTTGTTCTTCCCCCATTCTTAACAGCGCAAAACTCAAATATTAATTATTCGTCCAACTTCCTGTGCATCCAAAACCACAATCGTAACGTAGAGAACAATGTTCCCTATTATAGGAAAATTCCACCCAATCCATTCAATCTTTGCCAAAACAAAAAATTTATTGCGTTTATTGATTATTTCCCTGTTAACAAATTCTTGTGACCTTCAAATACCCGCTACCTGTAATATTTGCAATAATTAAAATAATTTGCAATTGTTACTAAAAAACACATTACCAAAGACACGTAGAAATGATAAAGAAGATTTTAAATTACTATTCACACTCAAGCACCGACATGACCTAAAGACCTGACTTGGAGGCCATGGGAGTGGTGTCATCTACATGTCATCTCTATCGCCATCAAATCACTTACTCTGAGATCAAATCAAGTGTCCATAAGATTATCCGACTATAATAACTTCATACAACGCCCTAAGCCAGATATAAGGGAGATAAAGATAGGAAACGCTCATAAGAAGCCAATGCTTAATAACGACCAGCTTTAACGCAGTTAACATCTGACCCACTATGTGGCGCTGTCATCGATATCATACAAATATTGCAGGGGGAAATTTAAAAATCTGATAGTTTAGGTTGTATAAATATCGACTGCACTCTCACGTTCTGGTAAATAAATTTAAACAATGTAATTACGGTAAATTATTTATTAAAAAGAATACTACACTTACTATTATCGATTAATTATTGTAAATCTATTCATGGCAAATATTTTTTTAATTTTTGATCGTTATGGGCAACATTAACATTTTTGTTCTTATTTTCCAAACGAATGGCCAATGATGTCTTATTTAAAAGTGATGAGTGCAAACTCAATATTGGGAATTCAGATATTTTTCTTGATATATCAAATCTTCTTTCTAACAATAAATAGTAAATAAATACCTACTTTGTGACAAAAGTTGGCTACTAGTGTAACTTACATGACTAGATCTTACTTTGGTTAATTAAAGAACACCACATTGGGATTGTTACATTTATTCATGTGGCATGTGTTACTAATGCAATACGTTCTCCGACTTGTTGTAATATTACAAAATATATTTATTGTCTTCAAATTTTACACAAAAATAGCTACAACCATTTTGCTTAGTTCATCTAGAGGATAACACAATCGTGAACTCAAAATTTAAAATTCAAATTCAGGATTCTACGATATACTTACAACTAACTGACATTTATATTTACAAACTGTCTGTCTACAACCGACGTGTACCTTAAGTTAACATCTGAGACGCATAGATGACGCCATCGTTACTGCGGTCGCTGCGTTTCCTATCTTTATGTCCCTTATCTCTGGCCCTAAGCATCAATGATTTAATATGTTTGGCATTATATAATTGCTGATGTCAACTTGAGTGGCGTACAGTAGCGTGTGTAAATTATTTATTTTTATATTATATTGTTAAACATGCTTTGAATTTTTAACTCATCATATTCATGTTTATATTTTAATTTTCAGTCGTATAGCGCTTTCGACAGTTTCAATACTATAATGTCAAATGTGGAAAAGATGCAAAATAGCTTCGTTCTAAAAAATGGTCAATGGTATTCAGACGGACTGAATTGGATATTTATCAATGGGCATTTTGAAGAGCTGCATTCCAAAATTGAATCGGCCTGCGATAGAGCCTGTGTAAATAATACTTTAAGGTACGTTCAATATTGTTTTTTTTGTCATTGCGATATAATACGATTGGAATCATCATTAGGTATAATTACCATTTCAAGAGTTGTATTCATTTGATTAGGTTTGAAACAATAAAAATAATTATTTCTATTATAAAATGTTGTGTAAATTGGATTTTTATGAAGATAAGCTAAATCTGATATCTGCATCCATTCCCGCTGATATTTTCCTTTTGCTGTTGTTTGTGTTGTTATCGCTCAGAGTTGTTCCAAATAATTAAAATGTGACCAGAACTTGAAGATATAATTCCATTAATATGACATTTTTTTGTATATTGGATTTTTGAAGAATCTGAAATTAATAAAAACAAAAAAACATGATCGCTGATTAAGAAACTGAAATTAAAAATTAAAGAAAAAATAGTGTATCCAATATGGCCGACAAAAAAGATAAAATTTCGGAAATAGGGAACTAGGAATTTATAATAATTATAATTTTTTATTGAAAATTTGTTATAGGGTCTTCTGATGTCGCTCATTTAGAATCTGAAATAAAAAAATTAAAAACAAAATGGCGGATCCAATATGGCGGACATATAAAAATTATATTTTTTTAATGATATTTTATTATTTGGTTTTCCGAGGTCGCTAGGAGAATCTCAAAATAAAAACATTAAAATACAAAATGACGGATCTAATATAACCGATAAAAATTATTAAATTAAAAAGAGATTTCTGAGATCGCTGATTCAGAATTTGAAATATTTTTTTTTAGAAACAAAATGGCGGACCAATATTGCGACAAATTGTAACTGTTCTATTTTTTTATTAAAAATTTTTTATACGGTCTTTTGAGGTCGCTGATTGTGAATCTGAAATAATAAATTGAAAAACAAAATGGCGGATCCAATATGACGAACAAAAAATTATATTTTTTTAATGAAATTTTGTTATATGGTCGTCTAAGGTCGTTGCGTGAGAGAATCTGAAATAAAATCACTGGTAAAAAAATTGAAAAACAAAATGGCTCATCAAATATGGCAGACAGAAATTATAATTTTTTTAATGAAATTTTGTTATAGGGTCTAGAAATTAAAAAAAATGAAAAACAAAATAGCGGATACAATATGAATGACAAAAATTATAAAAGTTCGGATATAGATTTTTTTCAAAGTCGCGTAGGAATATGACATTTAAAATTTGAATAACAAAATAGCGTATAGAATATGACTGATATGAATTGTAAAAGATGTAATTTTCGAACAAAATTTTGATATGAATTTATGAGATGGCTGATTGAGAACCTGAAATAAAAAATTTGAAAAATAAAATGACAAATTCAATATGACAGAAAAAAATTATAAAATTTTGCATAGAAGGCTTTTAGATGTCGCTGATTAGGAACATGAAATTAAAAATTGCAAAAATATCGAATCCAATAAGGTGGATAAATTATAATTTTTTTATGAAATTTTACTTGTTTTTCTGAGGTTACTGAAATATAAAATTTATTGACCTGAAATTAAAAATTTAAAAAACAAAATGGTTGATCCAAAATAGCGGACAGAATTATTATTAATACAATTGTAATTGAATAATTTGATAATAATTAATTAAGAATATTTCGTTATTTTGTTTATCTAATAATGCAATTATGCATTTCTGTTAATTATTAACTATAATTAATAAATTGGTTTCATATTAAGACAAATTAATAACTGTGAAAAAGAGGAAAAACTTTTTTATTTTCATGTTTTCAAGAAAATTTTATTCTTCATAAAAGTTTTTGCTGGGTGGTTTTACTTGTTGAAGAATATAATATAATTCAAAAATTTGTTTGGTCATTATTTCAATAAAGCAAAGAGATATTTAACTTCTATTTAAATTAATATTCTTTTTGAAACAAGCAAAAACTTTCTCTAAAAGTTGAAAATAAAAAAGTTTATTCTTTTTCAGTCCATGCGGAGATACACTTTCTGTTTATTTTCAGTTAACTAATGTCAAGTAAAAAATTAACATCAACTGTGCAGGTAGGGGCAGCTGGTTTTTCTTTTAAATTAGAGACTTTTGAATTAAAATTATATTTTAAATGTTACAATAATTAAATTACACTCAAATTTTATTGTAAACCATTTAGGTAGTTTATTCAAAGAAACCATTTCAGGATATTAAAATAACTGAAAACACAAAAAAATTTAATATAATTGAATTTTTTCAATTATACCTATATACAGGGTGTCCCGAAATTAGACGGTCATATTTTAACAGCGTAATCTACATCCCAAAATAAGAATAAAAGTTCATATAAACATAGGTCCGAAATCGTTTCGTTTTCGAGATACAGGGTGTTACAAGTGAAGTCCTGATGGCATATTTTTGTAAATATTTTCTAAAATTCACCGGTTTTCCAAAGTAAAAAAAAAATAACAAATTTTTGATTTCACAGGCCTACTAATTATTGTTTACACTTTCGAATAACTTATCATAAAATTTCCAAATGCTTTTTTCTTGAAAATGGTGCGTCCTAGCGAGATGCAACAGAAGTAGCTTTATTATAAAGAAAACATTGGTTTTCCAAATTTTATACTCAAAAATGTTAAAAACTGACAACAAAAAAAACTTAGGGCAATTTTACCCTAAGCCCCCCCCTAATTTACCCACTTATGAAGATGATCAAAATCTGAGGTTCAGTCCGTTAAATAGAGCGTAAAAAGGTAAGCATTTGTACCAAATTTCACTTAGTTATCTTGAAACGTTTAGAAAATATTTACAAAAGAGTGTCATCAGGACTTCACTTTTAACACCCTGTACCTCGGAAAAGAAACGTTTTCGGACCTATGTTTATATAAACTTTTACTCCTATTTTAGGATGTAGATTATGCTGTTAAAATATGACCGTCTAATTTCGGGACACCCTGTATAATGAATAACAATAGGTAGCAAGAGCCCAGGTGTATCTATTTAGGTGTTTTAACTAGTACAAACCTACATAACTAGAGCCTGAGAAGTCTGTAGATCGATCATTCAGTTAGAAACTTTTGACCAGATTTTAGGCCTTTTTAACCACTGTGCGGCCCTGGGGTGTAAGACGTTCGCGGGGAGGGTTAAGTGGCTGTTTTAATACCAAGTAGGTGACCAGGATGTGGCTTCGAGATTGATAAACCATTGGTGAAGTTTTCCTATGAGAGGTCACACAATTTGTTCATCCTGACCAACATGACTGCTTACGTCTCTTTGAGTACTTCCACATCCACGCAGTATTGCGTCTTGAAATACCGTTAATTTATTTCCTCCTTATTTTAGGTAGCTTTAGTTTGACCACAGTATAGAAAATAATCAGTATTGCAACTCTCAATAATCCACGTATCAGAACCACGTCGATTGGGCCACCATTTTCTCAGGATTAATTTATATTATATTATAGCTTTAAAAGTATGCTATTACAAATGTTCAAAAATTACAAGCATTTAGATACTTCAGTTACTCTATTTATAATCCACATAAATCACCACTTATAAATAATTTCTTTATAATCCACATAAATGACCCCGTATAAATAATATATATTAAACATAAGAACAACAATATATTTTATTGTTAATTTCTTACATTATATCACCGAATTTAAAAATATTTGAAAACGGCTTTTCCTGCATAGCAACAGTAAACAATCTAACTGTTTTTCGAATTCCAGAAAAAAAAAACATATTTGTGCAACTTTGCACACCTGCATTATGGAAAATTACCAAGTATTAATGCTTGCTTTCTCACACTCATAAAATCTGTTTCACTTGCATTAACATAAGTATAGTAAAAAAACAGCTACGAACAATATTCTTCTCTGTAAAGTAAATCACCAGGCAATGTTCCTCAACCAATCACATTAACATCTTTGCTTCTCCCGTCGCGAACTCGACGCCAATTTTGAGATGTATTAAGTCTGCTAAATATACGTAAAACATATATTTAAGTAATCGTATCTTTTCACTATGTAAAACTGTTGTAAGCTGAAGAAAGTTTAGTGTAAATAAAGTTGTTAATTGGAAAACATATTTAATTTCATCACAATTTAACAAGAATCTGATAGTTTATACACGTGCGATTCTAATAAATACATTACTACAGTCCACTACACCAGCTGATGGGAAGGCAACCCTTTTTTTTCTGCGACTGCGATTGGTAAATATTTCAAAGTCGCAGAGAACAATACATTTTTATAATATATATATATATATATATATATATATATATATATATATATATATATATATATATATATATATATATATATATATATATATATATATATAAAGAATCTAAAAGGATCTGTTGTTATATCAAAATCTACTAACTCGACTCTGCGAGTTATCCTAGCAAAATGGCGATTCCTGACACACCCTTTCCTCCCCGTGGAAAACCGTGACCGTAACCGCTTGATAGTCGTACTACTCTGATTGTTCTATATACTGTGGTTTGACGAATACTACAATTCGTCATCTACCTGGATTTGTTCTCAAAATGATTAATGTAATATTTTATCTGCTCTTTTATTATTTTCGAATTTGTCAAATGCATCTGTTAATAGTAAAATATTACGTTAACAAACAACGGCTCATGCTAACACCAGTGAGTCGTACATTCAACATTTTATTGGATCTACTGTAAATCTAGGGCAACCAGCGAACGCACTATGCTCCAACTGATCTACCGCTGGGACGAAGATCTATCGGATCTGAGATCGGAACTGTTCCAAACCGTCGAAGACCTCTACAATTACGAGAAGGAAGGCGAACAAAGGATCGTAGTAAAAGAAGATCTGGTAACCGAGGCCATGAACTGCCATTTGAGGCCGCAAAAGAAGGGCAAACAGCCGCCGAAATGTCCCGTTTGTCTAGCGAACGATACTTTAAAAAAGTACGAAGGAAGGCTGTTCGGAATGATCGAGAGACAAAGAACGTTCGAAGATATGTCTTTGCAGGGTGCATGGAAACCCACTTTACAAGAATTGGTGTTGAAAGGTAAGGGCTGTGTTTGATCTAAGATACAATTTAAATTAAATTTGATTCATCTAATCTTTGATATTTCTTTCTTATAAAGACGTTGTTTAGTGTAGCGACATTGTGATTACCACAGTAATCGTAATAGTAGTCATTTGGTAGTTTTACCTGGAAAGTATTCCAGGCATTTGAAAATGAGTAATTTTAGTTTTCGATGTACCCTTTCAGAATTTCAACTTTGCTACCTCGTATATTTGCCGCTCGCGCTGCCATATTGTAGCAGCAGTTTTTTGACAATGTTCCCGGAAATGAGTCGGAAAGACTCATTTCACGATTAAAACATTTTTATACAAAATTAAACTAGAGAAAATTTCCTATTAAGTGTAGTTCAACACGCCTTTTTGTCAAAAACTCATTTCCACACCACCTTGTGGTAGAGTAAGCGACGCGTTTTTTTTATCGTGGTATCCTTAGTAGGCCTAATCCAATTCACAATTCGAAAATTTTGCCCATTCTCCTTCGCTTCGCTGTTCTTGATGGATCAGGTGTTGCAAGTTCATTGTCTTTAGTACCGATCGAATTTCTTCCACATCATCCGCCGTGGGATTATCAGTTTCATCGCAATCCTCTTCGTTCTCGATTTCATCATGTTTGCTCGAAAATAGTCTCTGTTTCTTCCTCTTCATCGCTATCTTGTAATGGAACATGCGGTTTATCACAGGTATCACTATAACTCGTACTTATAACGGAACACTTTAACCCAGCCTTTCTGCATCCATAGGCTTTCTGACATATCTTTTTGAATTTTATTAAATAAGTTTTAACAAGCTTTCAGGAGCTCGAGTGTGGTGACAGTAATTAGCCCGTTCTTGTTTATTTTCCATCCCCATTGCTCTGCATTTTGTTCATTCCCGTACCACTGCTGAATCTGGTGATATTTTCGGAACGAATGTTGCTGTTTCTTTTGGTGGTATCAATGTAATATTATACTTCACGCGTTCTTAACCAGTTAACCTATGTAGTTTCCACGACCCAGTGTTACGCCACAGAGTTTATAGTGACAGTGACATTTTTCATTGCCGGTGCCCAGCCCTCCAGTCCATTTCTCTGTGTTTAACGAGACGGATGTGTAGTGATAATTTTTCAATATGTCAAAAAGGAAAGCCGACCTGGCGAGGAAACTCAAATCAATTTTGGGAGAACTAGCAAATACTTCGTCGAATGAGTCAGGTAAATATGCGGTTTTGTTTTTAAAATTACTCTCACGGTCTTTTTTTACGGAATCTAATGTACACGGAATGGTTTATTTCTATTTATATTAACCTTGAAAAATAGGGAAAAGAATAACTACAATGTTTATATTAGCCTAAATTTTATCATTATAAACCAAAAGTTCACCTTCCTTCGTGAAGTGTGGTTGAGTGCAAGTACTTTCACGTACTTTTTATATACACTCTGTTTAAGACGGTGACACATACCTTCGAGTATTGTGATATTGTCAACGAGTTTTTTTTTGTACCTTCATGTGCATATTGTTTTCTTTTTTAAATATAAATTAAAGAAAGGACTATAAATGAGTCGTTGTGATTTTTATCAAAAAAGATTTTTGATGATTTGCAATTGCAAGCAAATAATTATTTCAGACTTTCAGGCATAACTTCTGTTATGTAATATAGATTATTTTTTTCTTAGGGGACGAAGGTATCACACGCAAGAGGCGTAGGATAATAAACCCCTTAGATGATAGCTCGGATTCAGAACCCGAAGAACACAGAGTTCACATAGAACGACAATCTAAAAGCCCAGATTTCTCAGAAATACTTGGGAAAGATCCTTCAAAAATCGAAGCAAAAAGGGAGGAGATACACTCCTCCATCTGTAATAGATGGAATTTTTATGTTTAAAATGGTATTGAAGCTGAAGAATGAGAAAAAATGGTACTCAATCACCCACCACCAACTAATTGCAATCTATCTAGCCCAGAAATAAATCCTGAAATAGCTGCTGCACTAGGACCCGCTGAAATAAGACACGACAAATTTTTACAAAGTTTACAAAACCAACTTGCAGCGGGACTTAGTTCAATAGCAAAATCGTTAAATGCTCTTATTGGACAAAATCCGGCACCTGCAGAAATTAAGGGAATTACCGCAAATGTTGTGGATGCTGGGAAAATTTTATGCGACCTGCATTACCGCTTGTCCTCCCACAGGAAGTACCAAATTATTCCTTCACTAAATTCTGAAATCAGGAGAACCGCTGAAAATACTAAACCTCAAAAATACCTATTTGGGGATAGTTTTCGAGATGATTATAAAAAACAACAAGAGTATGTAAAATCATCAAAAAATATCAAGCATATCACTAAACCATCGACATCGAGACAACCTGGACCACAAAATTATTTAAACTACAAGCGTACGTACAACAAGACCCGCAACAAACCGCAAGCAACCACGAAGAGGTTCTCAACGCCCTACTCAAACTTACCAACCGAAGAGAAAGGTCACGAAGGAAGGGAGGAGGGAGGACAATCGCGGGAGATACTGCACAGCGAAGTAGAGAAGGTAAAAATTGAACAACACGTCGGTAAGCTCAAATTTTTTACTCTAACTGGCGAAATATCACAAGCAATCCTTTGATTTTAAATTGGGTACAAGGGTATACTATTCGCTTTAGTTCTAAGCTTTACCAAACTAAAGTGCCTACAAAACTTTATACCTTACATGATAGGCAATCAATTCAAATAGAAATTTACAAGATGCTACAAAAAGGTGTCATATCTAAATGTAAAAGAAAAAAATCTAAATTTTTAACAAATTTTTTTCTTCGAGAAAAAGCAAATGGTTCACAAAGGTTTATATTGAATTTAAAAAAATCTAAATATTTTTATAACAGTACCTCATTTTAAAATGGAGACTCACAAATCTGTTTGTAATTTATTTTGTAAAAATTGGTTTTTAGCTTCAATAGATTTAACAGATGCATACTATATGATTCCTTTAGGCAAAACAACAAGGAAATATGTTCGGTTTCAATACAACAACCAAACTTATGAATTTAACTGCTTACCATTTGGATTATGCACGGCACCATACGTATTTACAAAACTTTTAAAACCTGTTTTACAAATGCTAAGAATACGTGGAATCTTAACAGTATGTTATTTAGATGATCTTTTAGTGTTAGATAAAAATTTCGATCTATGTTTAAAAAGTATTCATTATGTCTTGGACATTTTCGAGTCATTAGGATTTATTATTAATAAAGATAAATCACAGTTAATTCCTCAAAAGAAATGTACCTTTCTAGGAATGACATATGACACTTCAAATCTAACAGTAACACTACCAGAAAATAAAAAAGTGAAAATATTTAATAATATTAAAAAGCTTCAACTTAACAAAATTATATCAATCCGAGATATTTCAAAAATTACCGGTCAGCTTGTTGCTGCCTGTCCTGCTCTCAAATATGGCTGGATGCATATTAAAAACCTAGAAAGGGCCATTTTTGTGGGCTTAAGAAATAGTCAAAAAAATTATGATGCTAAAATTAAAATAAATAACGAAATATTAGAGGATATTGATTGGTGGCTGAGTCATTTAGAGATGGGATTCAATGAAATTGATACTAGCAGTTATAAACTGGAAATTTACAGTGATGCCAGCACAATAGGATGGGGAGCAGTTTGTGGTAACAAAAAATGCAATGGATTCTGGAATAATAAGGAAATCTCATTACATATTAAAGAATTAGAATTACTTGCTGCGTTATATGGGTTAAAATATTATGCAAAGGATTTAGTAAATTGTAACATTTTACTCAGGATCGACAGCACAACTGCGATTGCTTATGTTAACAAAATGGGAGGTATAAGACACCGAAACCTCAATAAGGTTAGTAAGCAAATTTGGAACTTTTGTGAAGAGAAAAATATGCTTAAGGGATCTTATGTAAATACCAAGGATAATATTGCCGATAAAGAATCAAGATCCTTAAAAATGTCAACGGAGTACTGCCTAAATGAGAAGTACTTTGACATAATTACCAAGGAACTGGGACAACCCGAAATAGACTTGTTTGCTTCTCAGAGTAATGCTAAGTGCCAAAAATACATCTCTTGGTTCCAAGACCCTAATGCAGTGGCAGTTGATGCGTTTACAATTTCGTGGGCCGTACGGCAGACATTTTATGCATTTCCGCCGTTTGCCTTAATCAATAAAGTCTTAAACAAAATAATTAGAGACAAATCCAAATGCATAGCAGTAGTACCCGATTGGCCAACGCAAACTTGGTACCCATTATTTTTTAAAATGTTGATATCTAAACCAGTTAAGTTCAAACCTATTAGGGATTTAATTTTGTCACCTTTCAGGTCAGAACACCCGCTTTGGAACAAGATTTCCCTGGTTGCAGGGATGTTATCGGAAAATCGTATTTAATAAGGGGAGTACCGCAAGCCGCGATTCCGGTGCTAACTGCATCGCTCAGTAATAATACTCTTAAACAGTATAACGTCCCTCTTAAAAAATTTTGGAATTTTTGCAAGGAAAAAGACTTAGATTTCTATGAAGCAACGTCAAAAAATGTCTTAACTTTCTTAAACACACTGTTTGAAGATAATGGTTCTTATGCTACACTAAACACCTGCAGATCAGCCTTGTCTTTAATATTGCCCCAAATAAGCAATTGCAAAATCATTAATAGATATATGAAAGGAGTTTTTAAAATTAGACCTCATTTGCCTAAATAAATATTCGTCTACTTGGGACCCGAAATTAGTATTAAAATATCTTGAAACTCGTTATCCACTAGAAAATTTAGAATTATTAGATTTGTCAAAAAAACTTGTGACGTTAATTGCGTTAACTTCAGGACAACGGATACAAACAATCTCAAAAATAAAATTAAGCGATATTCAAGATGACGGTACTGATATACAAATATACATATCAGATTTAATCAAAACTTCAAAGCCTTATAAAATACAACCCTTGTTAAAGTTCCGAAATTTTTCC